GTCAGGCTGAGTATTCCACTCCAGGTTTGTATGAAAGGATTGTGAATATTTTGTGATGGTGCTTGCTAGACAAACAATTGAATCAACTAAAAAAAGGAACTGAGAACAGCATTAGTGCAACGTTGATTATTTTAAATGTGTCCGATAATATTGACCGTTGCTGTTAATGCTTTGGGTGAACAAAGCTGTTTAGGTACGTAATTCAAAGGGGAAAGAAACAATATCACGAATATTCAGTATGTGGCAAACTGTTTCAAGACTGTTTTCAGAGAAATATTTATTTACTAGATAGGTGAATCGTTGTAATGTGGTGCTATTTTTAATTTCACTTGGCAAGAAGTTCCACGTTTGCCTATATTTGACTGTAAAGAAGTTGGAAAGAGATTTCGCTCGACAAAGAATATGACTTAGAGAAGACCCGTTGCTGCGTAGTTCATACGTCGTAGAAGTAAAGTTAAGGTTATTATTGGGGAAGTATACTATTCCTTTGATTATTTTAAATAGGAGAATGAGGTTGAGTCGGTGGCGCCTGAACCAAAGGGGTTCGATCTTAAGAGTTGTGCAACGATAGTTGTAGGGAACTTTCAGACTTGTTCCTAGGATTCTACTTGTAAATCGCCTTTGAACACTTTCAATCTTTAGTTAGAAGCATTTTTGCAGGATATTAATTTCTGGTTATATATTACATTCAACCTCTGCATTTCAAACTTGATTGAGAAGTTAGTTCTTTTGACACCATTTTTATCTTTCATTTTATATAGTTTTTCCTTCTCTCTACGAAGCTTTTTAAGTTGAGGCGAGGAGAAACGGTCAAATTTGACGAATAGTGTTTCTTTTGGACAGCAGATTTCAAAACAGAATTTCAGATAAGATGTAATATTAGAGATACTGTCATCAAGTGAATCATCATTAAAAAGATCCCATCTTGTGTCAGTGAGCATGTTTCTAAGATGTTGTACGTTCTCATTTGAGTAACATCTGTGAGCAACTTTCTTCCACAAGTTTGAGAAGGCTTTACCGTGTAACTTTCCGTAAATTTAGGGTAAAACTCGTGCAATACAGTGATCACAAGTGAAGAGTGGAGCTCTTTTACGAGCTTCGTATATTCCAGAATCATTTATAAATACTAAATCAAGTGAAGTATCTTGTCGAGTTGGGAAGTTAACAGCATTCTCATGGCCCAGAAATGTAATAAAACTGTAGTCTCAGGAGTTGAAGTCACCAGTCACTACAGATAAGGAGTTACCAAACGAAGCAGCAGCAAAAATAGTGAATTCGCCAGGGAAGATCGATAGTTTTAAGGGACTGCAACAAGGCGTGACATAGATATTTGTGACAAAAATGAGGTCATAATTAGGTAAGTATTTAGGTCAACATTTAACAGTTATACAATCAATATTGTCATTTGAGAATTTGAAGCAGACGTTGTTGGCAGTAGACCACTGAGAATTAATGAAAAGTGGCAACACTACCACCTCTCTTCTTCTTTGAGCTGCATCGGTCTTGTCTGTACGTTGCGAAACCACTCAAAGAGGCTAAATTGTCGTCATATGAATCGGGGAGCCAAGTTTCTTGAAGAGTAATTACACCAGCATTACGATATACATTTGAGTATACTAGAGAATGCAAGTAATTAATTTCGTTCGGCAGAGATCTGCAATTTATGCTCATAATCACACGAACAGTCATCAGATCCACTGGAGTATGCTTTAAAGCTCATTATCATCCACCATGAAGCTTTCTCTTGAGTTGATTAGAAACTAGTAAATCAGTCGTTTTTAAAACTTCTACCCAACACAATACGTGGAATAAAATGGACATAAACCAACAACATGAAAAAGGTATAACTCACCATAACATCACATGGACAGATGTACGCTCGTTGGGCACCATACATACTTCACCAACCACAACCCACCTTTCCCAAGATAATGTGATGAACTTATATCCATAATGCTGCTGAGCAGTTAATATTCTCAACTCCTGTCGGAACAGCTGAAATTCAGAAACCTTCCTGACGCTAAGAAAATACCCACGAGCAGTAGAAATCCATTAATTAATGTGTCTAAAGCTTATGTATATTTACTCCCAACAATGACATTGCAGATCAAATGAGATAAACATATCACTGATTTCAAAATAACACATCAATGAACTATAATTCAAGGATTCTGCATAAAATAAAGTTATGTATGAAAATTGACTTCAAGCTTTAATTTTTCCCAGGCACTTATAATCCACCCACCAAAGACCTGGTTTTTGTTAATGCGAAGACAATACTCCTGTATTTCCTGTTGTGTTGCACTCACTGACAATCTAGCAGATTTTCCCAACTTAGCACAGAAGTGATTGTATATAAATGAAAAGGCTGTTTTATACTACTGGGATTAACATTTATGAAGTGTATGTACAATCTCCAGCGAACATGTAAAGCATATCTTGCTACTGCCTGTAAATTGTGATTGAATTATATGGTTCTATTTCTGTAACAATTTGATGATGCCTGTAAACTGGCGTCCCTCATGTACTGTACTATGAGAATAAATTTATTTATTTATTTATTACTGTCTACAAAATAACAAATGACCAGAATCACCCAAACAAAGGTGTCCTGCCATTGAGTAGGTATAGGCTTCCTCCTGGAAATCTCGGAAGGACAGCTCACTAGAGGGCACGGACTCGGGTGCGCTCCCACTTCTTTTCCCTGCGGGTTTGCCTTCCCTGGAATTCTTTACCGGCAGATGTAGCTATGGCACCGTCTGTGGACGCCTTTAAGTGAAGGCTGGACAATCATGCAGCGACACTAGGACTGTGTCCAAATGGCCTATCCCCGTAAAATCGCATACACCATTCGGGCGTAAATAACTAATTTCGTCGTTTTACTTTTTCACATTCTCTCCCGTATTACTCTCCTGAAAACTCTAACTACGCTTATAATTATTGTTACCGATATATATCAACTTCAAATTTAATCAGCTGACTGTTGTTACGTTTTCTTTATTTCTTTTTTTGTCTGTTAGTCTGAATAACTTCACTAATTATATCTATTAATATTATTATCTCTTTTTTTGACGAAAATACCGGAGGACTAACTGGTGAAAGGATCAACTCCATTCACAGTAGTAACAGTCTTAACACGCCTCATACTACAAACCACATATAATTAATCCCTGCACTACTCCTTTTGGAGTCAACCAAAGCTACGACAGTCGAGTGGCGGGGCGAGCTACGCAGAATTTCACCGAAGATCAGAAACCTATATCTCACAATCGAGAGGCGATCACAAAGAAATCAAATTGGTTTATTTTAGCTCGTAAAAACGATATTGAATATTGAATACCAGCAGCAAATTTGAACGGATGCGGTATCGATGAGGGAGCACAAAAGAGGTTAGTTTATATCGTTTCCACTTAGCTAGGGCCAGTTTAAACCTAAGATATATTCCTGTTATGAGTGATTTTTTTGTATAGGAACTCCGTCAAGAAATTACCACAGCATACTTTTTTTTATTCATAACGAAAGTTACTCGAGGCAAGAGAATCTGTTCATATTTGGTGCAACCTTTTTACGTCACCCACTTCTTAAAATTAGAGTGATGCATACAGATAATTTTTTTTCGCGTAACACAAAATGTGATCAATTTGAATGCTAAGGCTAGATGGTTGTCTAAACAATTTTTATTGTGCATAGTATAGTATTTTCTTATGGCACCAATGCGAAGTAGATTCGAAGTTTGTATCAGAGTCACTGTGTATAATCATCGTACTGCATCGGTGATATTTGGTTTGTGAGATGAAGTCGGAATAAGGCTGGAGCAAATACTTCATCGCTGTCAACAATGCTTACCTTATCCTCGCGCCGGATACTGTTTGGAGCTGGTTTATTTCCTTTGTCTTTTCTTGTCCTCTATTTGATGCCGCTGCTGTACATAATTTTCCTTTCTTTACCTTGCCGCTCACGCAAATGTGGAGTACTGCATCTAGTACCCTCTAATATGTCTGTTACTATCTTTAAGAGATAATGGACCTCTATACTTTGCTTCAAACTGACAAATAACTAATTTCTGCGAAAGGTAATTGAATTCAAAACTCTTTAGATAAAAAATAATTGCCCTGTGAGTGATTCTTGCTTAGTTTTAATAAACGAAATCGCTTCAGTGCCTACATTAATTGTTAGCTGTGATTTACAGCATAGTTTTGCACTGGTATTCCTTTAAGCTATGAAGGTTTTTAGGATATGTAACTGTTCCAGTGTGTGAATCAGCGACTCAACAAATAATACTGTCATCTATAATGAGGATTGTTTTCAATAGCCAATGTAAATGAAAATTAAAGCAGCTTGTTAGTTGAGACTAGATATAGAGGATTTTCAAAATGTTCCGGAGGTTAGTACCTGTGATACCGTCGATTTCTAAATACTGATAGTGCGTGGTTCATTAAGGTGCAATTTATTTGTCTAGGCACTTAAGTGAGGTACTTCAAGATGCTCAGTTGGTATTTTCATTTCATGGTATTTTCACTTGTTTTTCATTTTACTTTCTATGATTTTTCGGACCACTTTACATTCAGGTGTGTTGGGCATCCTGGTTTTCTTCGGAACTTCGCTATACAATAATTCTCATTATTCATGTGTGTTGGGTGTAAAAGCATTAGGTTTTTGATAGTTCAAGGTCAGTAGCGATGAATCGTGATATCAGTTATTCTAAAGCGTGTATGACACCTTAAGTGTTTATTTCGTGACTCTACATAGGTTTCTGAGGAGGGCATGCGTTTCGCATGTTTGTTTTTTTGCAGATGTAAAGTTTACTATGTTACGTTTTCGTTTCTGTTTTACACGAAAAGTCACCGTGGGGACGGCTATGTATAGTCTTTTTGAGTCATTTGTTTACACGTAATTTTTTCAAATATATTCACTATTAGATGCTAGTTAACGTTTTCCGTACCTTTCATTCCAGCTGCCATCCCATCGGGAGATCTTATTTCACTAGGTAATTTAATCATATGTTTTTACTGAATCCTAAAAAAATAGGCAGTAAGTCAAAGAAGGTTTCTCTTGCACATGGAAATCCTGTCAAGAAAGTTAAAAGTCAATCCATAGAAGGTAAGACCTGGTGAAAAATCCTCTTAGTTATTTCTGTCGGTTTACTGCTGTATCAATTGCTTACTAAACTAATTTGATTTTCAGTTGACTCGTCTGAATTGGTGACCAGAGTGGAGGCGGCCGTGTCTACCAATGACAATAATTTGGCAGATTCTTTAATTATCGCAGCATTGAATCAGCTGAAGACTGCTTCGGGTCATGGAAATTTGTCGACCTCCTTGTCATCTGGCTCTGATTTTCGCCCAGCTTCCAGTGGCTCAAGTTCACGACTATTGCCCGGTGTTTCACTTGGCCTTCTGGTACTAGTACAGGACCACCCTAATTTATTTACTAGACCTGCTGTTTTGGATCACCTCATTCTGATTTTGTCACTTAGTCCACGAGAGCTTGGTATATCATTACCGTCAACTGCTATTACTACTATAATGGCACGAATTCGTGGTCTTCACGTAAGTTTCTTATCTTCGTTATAGCCATAAGAACTGGAAAATTTTTTGTTTGATTGTGTGCATGGCTTTGTAGTATATATTGGAGCGCGTGAGATATTGATAAATTAAAGTCAAAATCTTGCTTTACAAGGGCAACATTCATTGTTCCATGCCTAGTTTTCTTATTCCTTCTAGGAGTTGTGAAGTTGGACTCCTCCGGTGATTCATATTTCTATGTTATCATCCTAGAATCTACATTTAAATTAATCCAACTCCCTAGAAAACCTATAATCTACAAGTAAATATTTAAAGTCATGGTTTGTTATGTTGTTTCGAAATATAAATATACAGACGTATAAAAAACATCTCGATAACTTCAATTAAGGAAAACAAATGCTACTGATTTTTATACTGTTGTTGTATACGGTGCGAACTTGATTATGTTGCTTGCGTTTTAGTCAGTTGCAGGGTAGCAGGCAATTACTCAAGTATTTGCACTTGTGTAATTAATATTCTGAAGGAGTTTTATTAAAAGCTGGGTAGTACTGCCGAAATATTCTTTCATCAACCGACTACAGTTTCATAAACAAGCGAGTCGAGTTCAATGATAAAATCACGAAGTTGCATTATAAGGTATTTCTACCTCGTATATGCAGTCTTAGCCACTTATAACATAGCTGAAAATCGCAACAAATATCATCCATTCCTGAAGTCACTTTTTATGAATCATTTAGTGAACCGTAGGCTACTTGCTGACGTGTTTCCCGATGTTTAACCTCAGTTCAAGATAATTATTCCAAATTGTCTCCAGTAGCGTACGTATATTCAATATTTACTTCTTTTTAGATCTGCAACTCATTATTACTTATATAGTTGTATGTTGAAGGCTTAAGTAAAGACTTCTTGTTATTCTGTTTATCATTTTGATGATACTGTGGATGTGTGTGCTGATAAGAACTAGAAGCTTACACTGTTATGTGAAGTTTTAATTTACATACACTTTATATGTCTATTCATATTTGGATCATACTTTAAGATAACAGATCGATCTTTCATACATTAAGATTTATCTGAATTACAGTTGTTTAGGAGTTGCCATTATCTTTTGGTACATAATATCGTAATTCTTAGTTTTTCTCCACTTACATTTAGTTTATCAGGATAGTCCATCATTTTGGCTGATTTGTAATGTTGGCTCATTGTGTCACTGATAAATTCAGCTACTTATACAGGTGTTACAAAGTTCAATCTGTTCCCACATAACTTGGTTAATGCCACAAAATTTAGGACATATAAGCCTTCTCTTCATAAAAAAACTTTACAAAGCTTTTAGTGGTCTTGTCTAGATTATTTCACTCAACTGAAAAGCCCGGTTTCTAGTACAAATACAGTGTGTTTTATCTTTCTATTACATTTCAGGTTCTTATTGCAAATATCCTTTATTTGGCTTTAAACAGTCAAGCTAAATGGCCTTCAAAATTAATAAAGGTTAGATATATTGTTTTTAACTAAATAGCTATTTCGTTGTTGAGTTTATTGATTTTAATGTTGGCCAACTAGTTGAACATTTTTAATTAAAAGTTGTATTTAATTCTTTAGGTTTATTTAGAAGATAGTTTAACCAACCGAGTTTGGGTTGATCAGGATGAATGCCGTTTATTTGTATTGAATTTGGAGACTGCATTTCCAAAAACGTTTGGCGATCCACGAGGTTTATTTACCGTATTGTCATCACATCAGAATGGATCAGTAGGAGCTAACCAATCGTCTGGTACTATTAATTACTCAACCTCTGCGACTTCAGGAAATGCTGTGCTTAATGTATTAGGTTTCGCAGGCATTCAGCCGTCCACTTCGTCAGATCCTTCAGTATCTATTCCTCTTCATTGTGAGAAAGATGAGATAAGTGAGGCAGTTTCAGATGTATTGAAAAATCAAAATAATGCAGTTTCCAGAGTGAGTGAACTTTCTGTGTTTTAGTTGTTGCCGTTTACATCGTTATTTTGCTTAGTCATTTCCATTACTTCTATTTTATTGCTAATTGTTACTCTTAGCGATCTCGTTGTAACACAAGTTCCAACTTATGGTCCGGGGTTCGATCCCCGACCGACGCACTCCTTGTGCGTCGGTAGCACAGTGGTTAGGACTCTCGCCGACCATGCACATGGTCCGAGGTTCGATCCCCTGCCGGCGCACACCCGATATCTATGGTTGGCCTGAATTTGGGCTACCGATATCCATGCTGAAAATTCCACACTTGTACTGAAAATACGGTGTGGAATCAAGCTGTAAATCAAAAAAAAAACTTCATGACCGGCAATAACATCTACAACTTCTGTCAATCTGGATCATCCCTAGCAGGATTGACATACCGGTCTAGTCGTCCAGTGTCAGGTGTCTATCACTTTGTTACAAGTAGTTCTTTTCAATGCGTTTGTATTCTTCATGGAGAGTGAAGTCTTTCTGTATGAATCGATTGCATGGTTTATCTTTTCAAACAAATGATTTTAAATGTTTATCTCGCTAGTGTGATACGCCTATTTTTCAGTTTCTAATTAAAGCAACAGTTTCTGTTAACTATTATGTTTTTAAATTTACTTTATCTTTTTTATGGTTTTTAGGCAATTTATGGTTCCGACATAAATTCACATGTTTCACCACGATTCGAGGCCTGTCGTCAAGCTGTAGAGGTAATAATAATCAATACGTTACGTGACGCCCTTGGTCGAAGGAGTGGAACTACTCCATCGGGTTCTCAAACAAACACCGCAACTTCTAATACTCCATCATCATCTGTTATATCTTCCTCATCATCAACTTCAATCACTGGTGGTGATGCCACACAACTAAGAAATCTTCTTCGCACACTTGGTATGGCAGTTGCTATTGCCGAGGTTCGTGGACTCGTTGCTACAAGAATGGAGCCATGGTTAACGGTAATTTCACCAAGAATTTAATCTGTCTAATTAATTACTTATATACACAATGATGGTGTTAAACTTAGCTTTGGTGAATATATTGCAGACTTGATTAGTGAATTTCGGTCCTTACTTCAAACTGGATAACATCACGAGATCGTGTTGTTGCTTGTACTGTATTGTTATCTACATTGCTGGAGGGGCTGTAATGTTTAAAACCTTTTGGTTAATATTACTTAAATTCATGACATAACTGTGTTTTCGAATATTATAGGAAAAGAAAAGGTGTGTTTAGTGGTTGAATTTAGTTTATTATGAGCAAGACATCAGTTGATCAGTGATAACCATTCTTAGCGTGTTTACAGTTGGAGTTTATTGTGAAAGTAAAGCGATTCTTTGAAATTCTATCGGTTCTGATATCTTAATAACTCATAAAGCCTGAAACCTTAGAACTAAGACAGAGATAGAGAAGACTATTTTTTTTACTGTTTTAAAATTAGTCATTATTTGTTTAATTTTACCTGCCTTTAAGATAATATGCTTATTTGTGATGAAGACTGATATCTGCTCCATTTAACATTTTAGAATCCTAAATTACAACTCTATGGTCTCGGTTTATTTGCACTGGTCGCCACTAATTGTCGTCTAGGTGGTTTATCTCCACATGATTTGGATATTATGATTTCAAGTGTGTATCGTATTCGTTACAAACTATTGAAACCAAATATTCAAGTGAGTTTATTCCTTTTTATGAGAAAATGCACATGAATATAGTAGTTCACAGTTGACTCAAATATTTTCGTACATTCTTTCCTGTGTATGCAAAGAAAAATTAAGGGAAACACAATTGTGTAATTTTCGTCTAAGGGTTAGAAATGGTAAGCTGTTACATTTCTTCCATCTTTAATTTTCATGGGTTACATTGATTGTCTTACGAATTCCAACTAAGCACTTTTTATCTTCGGATGAATGCGTGTTTACCATTGATTATTCGCTTTTAATTCTTTACATTACGACTGTCTTTGTAATCAGAATTGGTCGACACAATACGAATGAGACTGAGTATCCTCCAAGGTTTCATCGGTTTTTGATACTGGGGACATTTGATCTTATGAAAATACTTTCAAAGGAAATGCGAAATTGGCTAATCACACTGTGTTTTCCATTACTAATTTGTGAAGCAATATTCCCAAGGATATAAACTGTAAACATATATATAATTGTAGAGCCAGAAGAGGAAATTATCGAAAACTGTAAACTGTTTAAATAAGTTACGCTTTTCTAGTAATCAAAGTAACCTCACTAGGATACATCGATTTTGATTTTTCGAGAATAATATCATCAATAAATATCAGCTATCAGAGTTTAAAAGTCACTCATACTTGGTAGTTTATACTGTCAGATAAATTGGTAGTTGGTTTTTGAAAAACATATCAGCAAACTTAATTTTTCTAAAATTTTTTTCAGTTAAAATGAGTTTTGAAACTAAACCAAACGTCATCTTGAATTCAGCATTCGAAAGCCTATCCACAGACTTCAGATTGAGCGGCTAGGTTGTTTAATTAGTTGTTTTTATTCCTTTACGTTCCCAATGGGAAATAGGGCTTCAAGCTAGTGGCTCCTTGCCAGTATTATTACTGGCTTAGTGAGATGAAGGAGTGCGTCGGCCGGAGACCGAACCCTTGCCCACATGCGTGGTCGGGTAGTATTCTACTGCTGTGCCACTGACGCACATATAATTAGCGTATGTTATGTCATAGTATATAAAATCTGAAGTAAGTAATATGATTAACAACATATAAAATAGTGCTCTTACATGTGAACCATCGATATAAGGTGAGAAAGATTATTTGCATGTTACAGATATGTAATTTAGACGTTTTTGTCTTTAAATTCTTCAAAATGTATCTTCACTATAAAATTGGTCATTTCAGTCAACATCGCATATTTTTTTTAAAATTTTAAATTTCTCAATTCATACAGACTGCTTTTCTTGAGTGCATCAGTCATTTGGTTAAAGCAGCTCCCATGAATCTGTATTGTTTAGTTAATTTGAGCTCAGCAGCTTCAGAATTACGTTTTGCATCAAGTGCTAGTGAATCTGGTCAGACTAACCAAAATCTGAGCACAGTTGTCATGAAGGTTGCTGAAACTGTTCAAGCTTTTTCTACGGAAAGTGGCAGTAGTACTGGCTCTGCTGTAATTGCTCAACAAAACAGTTTAAATTCCGCAGCTATTGCTTCAGTAGCCGCTAATGCAACCAGTGCGTCAAGCAGAGGTAGTAGTTCAGCTGGCATTTTATTACCTTTTCTGTATCAGCGCTTTGGATCACATTGGATTCGTGTAAGTATTTTTACATATATTTCTAGTTTCTCTAAAAATCATTTCCATTCATTTTATCACAGAAAATAGTAACTTTCATTTGTTTGTTTCTCAAGAATTATTGTTTCTTCATGAGGTTCACTCTAGTGTGTATTTCAAGACTATATTATGTACCATATACTAAAGTAATACCATGGCGATTTCGGTCACATGGCTCAATATATGTTTTTGTAGTTAGGAAGTATTTTAACTAGTCTACATTATGAAATAAGATTGAAACACACCTGCGTACTAATTATGGCGAAGGAGTCTTAATGACTGTCAAGGGAATAATTCAAATATTAATTATCACGGTATTTTAATATAACTGGAGAAATAGTTCTTGTATATTTAGCGTATGTCCAGTCTAGAGCTAAAGGATAGGTTAAGTAAATCTCCACCTTACTCTGATCAGTGATGTTTTTCCTTTGAGTTTAACCAATATCTTTTTGTTTATTTTCTCAGCTTTCAATCAGTGAATAACTGCTAACAAGTAATAACAGTAGCTCTCATCCAATGGATTTGACTAGAAGCATAGTTTATTATTATTATTGTTCCCTTGGGTTCCTAGTGGAACATAGGGCTTCAACTACACGTCTCCACTTGCTTCTGTCTTCTGCTGTACTTTACACCTGCATCCATGTTAGTCCATACTGTTTCAGTTCCTGTTCACACGATCTCCTTTATGTCACCCTTGGACGTCCCACTCGCCGCTTCCCTTTCGGGTTCCACTCGAGCGTTGGCCTGACGCGCGATGTCACCCAGCGGCCTCCTCAGCGAGTGTCCAAACCCATCTCCACTTTCTCCTGCATATTTGTTGAGCGATTGGTTCTTGTTTTGTTTGTTCCCATAGTTTCTTGTTGGTGATTCTTTCCGGTCATCTGATCTTGAGTATAGAACGAAGACAGTTGTTGATAAAGGTCTGCAACTTGTTGGAAATATTCTTTGTGACCCGCCAAGTTTCTGATCCGTATAGAAGCATAGTTTAAAGGCGTTTATTTAGTTACGGAGGTGTACTGCATTGACCCTTCAATGCTTATATTAGATGAAAAATAGATTTTGAACCATCAGTGGATAAAATTATGTGACAACGTATAGCACTCTTTGGTTTTATGTATTCATACTTGCCAGTCAGACATACTTTTCTTGCTGAAAATACTGGTCAACCTATAGTGCATGGAAAAGCCCAGGACTATTGAAAAAATAATTGTAGCTGAACAGTTGTGTTGATTAGATCACAAATTCCCTAGCATCTAAGAAAGCGTCTCCGTATGACTGTTGTTCTTGCTTATATCAGGAAGTTATTCGTTTCCTATTATCGTGACTCAATATTAAACTTTACTGTTGGCATAAAGTTAGGTCTAGACAAGAGGCAGTGCGTTACCGAACTATGACTTTGTGTTTATTTCGTAGGTGTCTTTACGAGAGCCCTATTTCTCTATTAGTATAGTTGTTGCTTAAGTGGTCAAGTAAATAACTTGAAGGAAATATTTTCTAAGATTCTGTTTAGCGTAGTGTAACATGAATATTTTGAGATTTTTCAATCACAAACAGAATGTTAAACTCAACACTGCAACCCCTGTTTCCAGTAGTTTATCTTCAAGATAACATCTTGAATTCTTAGAAGTGAGCGCAGTTAGTATTGTACCGTCATCGGTTAAACAAGTAATATGTGTATTCCTACTAGTTTGATGTTCAGATGGGGTTTATTTCCACTTGGAACTACATTACTGTTTGATACTCGTTTTTTTAAGTCAATCTTTTTCTATCCTCAACAAGTTATACAATTTTAAACAAATGATATGCTGTTCAGTTGTTCTGATTTTCAGAATTAACTCGATTAACTCACTTTTAATTTTCTGTTGTCTTCATTAATCTGTTTTATGTTATGTATATATATATTTAGAACTGTGCAGTTTTCTTAAGGAATCCCAAAATTATGATTTAGCTAGCTGAAGTTGCCTTCTGTTGTTAAATACATCTTTATCTATTTAAGATTATGATGTGATCATTGTTGTTTTTAGATCATTGGTGATTTACTCAATGAGCGACTGATTTTAACTTCATTAGCTACGGCTGCCCAAGCGTCTCAGAATTCTCTCACAGAATCACAGTTGTTTGTCGAATTCAATTCACGACTGTCTCCAATTTATCAATTTCTTCGTGAACTGGCACGGTTTACTCGCAGTGATAATGATAGATCTGTTAGTGGTTCACCTTTAGTATCACAAAATAATTTACTTCAATCACAACAGAATTATTTGCCATGTGCAGAGCTTGCTTTCGCTCTATTACAGGATCGTTCGTTTCGTGGTACAACCAGTGCTTCTACAGCTGTGAATGCTATAGTGGCGTCACTAACCCAGCAAAGAGATCATTTACAGGGAAAAACAAGTACTGAACATACGAAAACCGATATAACTATCTTTCAGTGTTATTTACATGGTCTAATGGGTTTATTGTGTGCCCTGCAAATGTTATCAGCAAACCGACCATTTCTTAGTAATACATCATCAACTACTGCTAGACGTACAAGTAAGCTGGGAAATTATTTTGATTTCAGCTTTTCAGGCTATTTTCTAAAATTTTGTTATATACTGAAAGTTATTTTATGCGGAAGCTAGCATTTTTATTCCAGGCATCATTAGTGGGAATTTATCCACATCTATTGTGAATTTCTCCCAAAAGAAATTCGAGACGATAATCGAACGATTATTAAAACGACACGTTGAGTGATACGTAAAATCAGAAAACGCATGATTTCTCTAAAACACGGTGTTATATTAAATATAAAATATGAAATATAATATACAAACTTCAATTGTGAGGTGTCTGTGACTGAATGCCGTCAAAAAGCACAGTCAGTGTGCGTCAGTGAGTAAAAACAGCAGAGCTGTGTCAAAGGCGATCCACGTGTTACTTAAACGGCGCTCGAATGCCTGACACAGAATAAAGGGATACGAGTGAATAATGTTTAACAGTAACTGGTACATAAGTAAAGCATATACAGCAAATAATGTTCGACTATAAGAAAATAATTACAATACATCAAATAGAGTGTAAAAACATTAAGTAAGTTAAACCTCAATAACAAACAAAGTCATATTTAAGACGTAAAATATAGTTCATGCTACTTACTAATGGTAAGTAGCATGAAGTTGAATACAAAGGAAAGAATAGCAAAGAACAGCTAAGAAAGAAATTAACACCCTATCCTCAAAACCAGCCTGGTTTTCCCTAGTCTGCCTCCTAATAAGATGCAAAATTGGTACAATTTACTCTTGCCACATCTGTATCCATTCATATCCTTAGAGGTATTTACCTTTCCTGAACACCTTTTAATAAGCAAAATTTATGTGCCTTATTACTAACCTTTAAATATTTCTGCTTCTACCGGCTTCCAATCGCATCGCCAAGGAGTTGACCCTGTCTTTGTCTTCTGCGTAAAATTGCCTCCATTTGAGAAATTCTTCCAGGAACTCAAGTGAAGTTAACAAATGCAGAGTTAATATTAGCACAAATGGTAGACAGACAGACCTATGTGAACCTGCAAAAGTTGATTAGTGACATTTTTAGGACTCCAGCTAAACTATCTGTAGCTCCCTACATTACTGAGATCAACAATTGGGAAATTCTTCCAGCGATACCAGGATTTTGTTTCCCAACGTTATTCTTCCCCAGCCAATGTCTCTCTCATTCAGGAAGATGGTAATTTGACATGTACAACACTGTTACATATTGCTTAGCTGTTCCCACCCTTTGTTTACATGTGATTAACCGATCCTATCGACGAATACAAAGAGTTTTGAACGTCTGACAGTAATTCTTAAAGTCTTTTTTATTCGTGCTATATTTGCTTCAGTGCACGAAGAACAAGGAGTTAGGTGGTAATTTGCACATACAGTTGAGTTAGTGAAGAGAGTGGTATGATTCAGGATAACTCTAAGTTGAGCAGGTTGCTAGATAGACCATACGTACATTGAGTCAAAATAGCTGTTTATTAGGATGTCAGTCCATAATAAGGATAAAGTAGTTAAGGGTAACTTACCATGATGCATTTCGGTTGCCTTTAAAGTGTTCTGATCATAGATTATGATATGTTTAACAACAAAAATAACGTCAAGAAAATAGGCAAAAGGATCACAGATGATAATAATACATTATACTTATTTAACGTCAAAAGTAGTATGAGTAGTTTCATTTATCAGCTGTTTTATAGTCTAATCCTTCTCTCACATAGGTTCTTTTGCTGAAGCTACTAAAACTCATCATTTGACTATACGTCAGATTCGTTTGGCGTTTGTGCGATGGACAAAATCATTATTACCAATGTTTATAAATGCGGCTAGTCAAAGTTGTTCACTGCCATCTACAAAATGTATTGAAATTATAAAACCTGTCAATCTTATTCGTCGAGTATTCATTTTGGACTCAGTGGCTGTTTTAAATGAATCACAGTCGGAAAGCGGCTATCAGCTTACCTCTTCCTTGTATCCTGTACAAGATATATGGCCTGATCAGGATCAAAAGTACGTGTTTTTTTGTATTTTTGCTTTTATCCTTTTCAAAATGTTTTCTACAAATATGCTGGAAAGTGTGATGTTTCTTAATCATTAATTGGATGTATATGTATTTTTGAAAATTTAAAAATGAAAATTTTGCTAACCATCCTAGTGGGGGGACAAGTTGATACTTGTATAGGTTGAAGTGGAATACAAAAGTATGGTCGTTTTACAATCCGAATAAATTGTAGTTAAGACATACCACGGTGCCATAGCACACATCTTCCTAGAAGATTCCTCTGTATTGTTTTTCAATTCATGGAGGATTGGAATGAATAAAATATCAATCTATTTCTTCATGTCTACGTGGGTATCTTCGCTAAAAGACTCTCATTAAAATTCAACCTGTTTTTGAATACATTACTTAGTTCTTAAATCTTCCCGCACATTATAGTTCTTTTAACTACTTTTGTCCTACTTTTGTGTTCAATATGGAGTCTGGCGACTAGATATGCTGCACCTCTGTGCTAAAGTATACTCTGAATAGTCAATTTCAGTTAGCCAGTTCTTAAAACGAATTAGTTCACCTGTTTAACTGCAAAACCATAGCTTTTCTTTTTGTAATTATTGTTTGATTGCTATTTAATCCTCATTATTTAGATAAAACCTTTGTTTCACAGTGGTTTGATATACGCTGAGCTTTGGCACTTGATCATGAACGTTTATTCAGCAGCTTTGGTCAAGTTCATCTCCTAATCTTCGGCTTCAAAAATTTTCGCTACTTTTGTAAACTTCCTACGTTTTTTCTGATCGATTAAGAAAAAGTGATTTTTTAGGTGAATCCTCGTTAATTTTTGAAAATTCTCGTTCTTTCTCAAAGTTATCAGCCTATTTATATTATTAAAGCTACTTATTTTCAGTCCTCTCACGTAGAATCCCTACTTTTTGTCACGGTGTTACGTTTAGAACCTGTGGATCTGTGGCTGATTGGTTTACCCGGCTTGAATTTCATCCATTAGATCACAGGTTCTAATCCTACTCTACTTACCGACGTGTGGGCAACCAGGCAGTATTAGTAGTTTGCACACAGTAAGTGTTGTGTGCATAGAATAGCAAGTGGGTGGTGAGTAACTTTTCACTTTTCTTTGTTTTCATTTCAGTTCATTAAGTCGATTGATCTGCGATACAGGTGTGTCTGAAAAATTACTCAACCAGTTATTAATTTTGGGTTTGGATTCTTCTTGGCAGTGTCTTAATGCTTTAGATGCCGGAGATATAGTATGCAACCTCATATGGCGTTGCGCCACGTTTTCTTGTGATTCAGGTGAGTTGTCTTACACTTTTGTGATGCTTCACTTTTTCTGTGGATGTAAACTAGTATTTTTATGAAGTCTAGTTATTATCAAATCTTCTTAAAGAAAGTAGTTTGAAAGTTTAACTTGTTTCTATTTATTTTTATAAGTGTTAAATATTTATGACTAGGCGGAAGCTGTTAGTACTACACCGATGTTAAAACTGATCACAATGCTAATTTTTTGTTAGACATTTTACTTGTAAAATTTGTACTTTTAGTTGTGATAAAACTAAATATACAGGAGTTCAATATTTTTGTGCGTTTATCGACGTTTTATTCGGTATCAGATATTCATATTTAAGGCATGTTAACCTCGGTCTTACTGTTTGTTGACTTCGATCATAGAAGCTACACCTTACCGTATTATATGTCTCAGTAGTCCAATGTTAGATTGTTATCTAGCCATGCAAAAGTTACGGGTTCGATTTCCGATCAATGCACTCCCAAACGTTGCTTAGCCGGCAGTAGACCCGATAAAGGAGGGAGGTTGGGTGTGAAGAACCTAACAACCTCATCCAGTATAAAACAACAATATCGTTACTGATACTTCAAATACTTCAAATCCTTTGTTCCATTCAGGATGCCGAAAGTGGGAAAATGTCTGGGTGGATAAATATATCTGTAGACCTCTTAATAATACATACTTTTTAGGAGTATAGTGAATCAATTTTTTCTATCTTTATTTCCATTATTTAGGTTTAGAGGGATTAACTATTACTCGACCAGAACAACTGTTCGACCTTCTGTTTGCTAGTTGTACTTATTTGTCGGATCAACAAATTCCAGCGTAAGAAACATATTTTTAATATTTTTGGAATGATTATTTCTTTTGGTATCTTAAATTTCAGATAATTTTATTATTGAAAGTTTTTGTCATTATTATCTTTTTCATTAGATGGCATTAATGAATTATGCTTCATTTTATTATCTGTAAATCTACTTCATTGTAATTTGCGTTTATGCTAATTCACTGAGTGAACTGAGACATTTATAATTCATTTAGTATTATTAATAACTCTGAGTAGTAGTCAGACAGTCAGTCATCTCATAGTTTTATTGTATTCTTCGAGGTTGTGTTGTGATGTTTGGGAAGTTGGGTCCAAATAAACTCAAATCACATTCTAGATTAGTTATTTCTATCTGTATTTTACTCTTTGAGTCAGCAACCACGGAATCTTAGCAATGTATTGAAGAGGCATCATTTTACAGCTATATCTATCTTCCTATCCCTGTTTGAATAATTATTTTATATAATTGGTGTTAGTTTTTTTGCGGTTTCTTTGAGTCAATTCTTGATGAAATCCTCCAACCTACTAAACAAAATCCCTACAAGACCAATACTTGAAAATTGATCTGATGCTTACTAACGACTGGCCCTATTCAGACGATGGTCTGGGGTTCTAGTGGGAAGTCGTGACCAGAAGGGTGCAGCAGGTCGGGTGTGAGGACAAATACTCGACGAAGACACTGGCTAGTGGTCACGCTATGTTGTGAATTGGCAGAAGTTAGAATTCATGGGCCATTAGATCGGGTCCCAGTGGCTTGTAACCAGAGGGTCCTGGGTTCGAACCCTGGTGTTAAGTGCGTACTGATGAATAGTCCCAAACTAGGATAAAACAACTGTCCAGTTCTCACAGGTTTTCCAATGGTTCTCTAACCAATGTCAGCTCATGATGAAATCCTCTAATCAATCAAACAAAGTATTTGAAAATTAATTTATTAAGTTTAGAAAATTAGATGAATCTAAGATTGTTTAACATCACCGTCATCATAGTTTGAACGTCTGATGTATTCAGTAATAAAAGTTATAAATTCTATTAGTAGTTCAGTGTATCTAACTGTAAAATTTCAACTTATATTTGAGGTGTTTCAGATGTTTAGATAAAGTTTATGTACTACTGCAAGCCATGCGTCGGTAGCATAGCGGTTAAGACGCTCGCCGACTATGCACATGGTCCGGGGTTCGATCCCCAACCGACGCACTCCTTTACCTCACTAAGCCAGAAATAAAGCTGGTAAAGAGGAAAGGTTGGACATGAGGCTAGCAAACCTATCCTGTAAAAATACACACTGCAACAGAAACTTCAAGCCTCTAGCTTGAAGCCCTATGTCCCAGTGGGAACGTGAAGGAATAAAAAAACTACTGCAAGCCACAGTTGATTATATAAGGGTTTTTAATATTTCCCCGCTGCCTAAAATAAAGTAAGTATAGAGTTGAGTTTTAACGCGAAAACCCATCACTTAAATATCAAGTACTTAAGCCAAATAATTATGTATTAGTATTAATATAAACTCATATGAGAATTAGGCTTTCAAGCCTATAAATGGTTAATAATTGACTTGTTTTCTTGTACGTCCCCTTCCTTCTAGTAACCTTCTAGTAACATAGAATTACAAATGAGTTGTTTTATTATTTACTTCTTTTTTTTATTTTGAATAGTGAAATGAGTGAATTAGCTTATGCTAATATTTATTGGAAAGTTACACTAACCTGTATGATATTAGCAGCTTATTGCCCACGTACATGTGGTAAGTCTTCTTAGTAATGTTAAATAGAATCGTCGTATTTTGTAGTTTTCTACTATGACTTTTTATTCCTTTATGTTCCGAGAGGAATATAGGGCTTCAAGCTAGAGCTTAGAAGTTTCAGTAACAAGGAGTGGTTTTTACGGGGTGAGGCTGCTACTATCACGTCTAACCTTCCCTCTTTATCGGCCTTACTACTGGCTTAGTGAGATGAAGGAGTGCGTCGACCGAGGATCGAACCTCGAGCCAAGTGAGACGTGGTTGGCGAGCATTCTACCGCCGCACCACCGACACATTAGCTCACGACGTCAGGAGCAGGGTTCAAACCTGCTCGAGGAAACCCAATTGGATTCCAAGTCCAATGCCTTAACCATTCGGCCATCCTGACACCTACTATCGATTACAGTACTATTATTAGTGTATATAAATGACTTCATAATCAAAGGTAAATATTTGAATATGTGACAGTGATAATGTTAATGACAATTGAATAGCAACATTTACTTTGATTATGAAGAGCTTATCAGCTAAACTTCTTGTTCTAAAATCCTGATTGGTAATTTTCCTAGGTGATGTGATGAATACAAGTTTTATTGTGTAGGTGTTTACTTTTCGTTACTTGATTGCTTCTGGAATGTTACCTTATTTAGCACCCTCTTTAAAGAATCCAAGTCCTGTATTCTTCTGACATGTTATAAACTGCTACAAAGTATTATTTGATACCTTAATAACTTTAAGGATCTCTCTACTTTTCACTGATTAATTCTTAATGTTTCATTAGTCTCCTTTAAGTTACCTTTATATTTTTATTTAGCTTAATACAAACTTTTCAGTAACCCCATGTGATCTTTAAGTGAATAAAATTTAGTGATGTTCATAATCTACAAGATGATGATGTCTGATTATGGGTGGGTACATCTACACCATCGTGAAGAGTTTTTAGTGTTTGAAGGATCACAATCATTCAGTTTACACCATACATGGCTCGTACCAACAATCAGTGACTGTTTTAGATTGATCTCATGTTTTGTTCCAACCGCTTTTATCATCATAATTTTGCTTCAGTTAACATTGGTCGTCATGGGTGGTAGTCGCTCAGCATGCATTACATATATTTCAACCCCCTTATTCATTTTATCGATTAACTTGCCTTTCTTATCAGACACTGTATACTGTACTCAGTGTAGATAGCAAATTGTTATCTAAGTTGTCTATCACAACTGCGAGATTCATTGGCACGTCAAAAAAATCGGTTATGTAATATTCTAAACCATTCTTCTCCACTGTTTCAAATTAGTTATTTGTAAGTAAATGAAATAATGAGATGACGTGTTTTCTGTCAGATTTAGTTATATATACTTATTTGTGTAGTGAGGCTATGGGGTAAATGGTTTTCAGGTTGGATATATTGTGTTGGTTAAGGATAATAAGCAATTTGTTGAGGTTACTCACCTTCTGGAGTTGTTTCTGCCGGCATACAATCTTAGAAAAAGTAGAAATGTAATAGATTACAGGAAGAAATGGCTAGATGTGATTTTGACACTAGTTGATTAAGGGATTATTTTTATGTCAACACGATGATGTCAGTAATCTCCTGAAAAAGGTAATTAGTAGTATAATTTGTGTGGTTGTGTTCTCTGAACAGCGTGGTTTAATTACTTCTTTAGAGCAGACTTTAATATGAATTGAATATGAATTGAAACAACCTCTTTTACCTACCTGGGAAGCATCGTTTCAACTACAGGCGGAACTGACGAGGATATCAAAGCAAGAATAAGAAAAGCAAGACAAAATTTCACTACTCTAACCAATTCAACAGCACTCAGCATCAAAAATAAGATCCAGATTTTCAACTCCAATGTGAAGTCAGTGCTACTATACGGATCAGAGACTTGCACTTCACGTCATAGAGAGCATCTCAAACAAACTACAGACCTTCATTAACAGTTGTCTTCGCTCAATACTCAAGATCAGATGGCCGACCAGGAAAGATCAGCAACAGGGATCTCTGGGAGCGAACCAACCAGGAACCGATTGTGAAACAGATAGGGAAGAAGAAATGGAGATGGATTGGCTGGCCATACTCTGAGGAAACCATCAAGTGGCATCACTAGACAAGCCATTGCTCGAGTGGAACCCGAAAGGGAAGCGGAGAGTTGGTCGTCAGTGCAAGGGTGACTTGGAGGAGGTCATGCGAAGAAGAGATGAAAGCGTGTGGACAGACTTGGAGCCAGGTGGAGACTCTAGCAGAGAACAGAACGCAATGGAGACGCACGGCTGAAGCCCTATGTTCCTCTAGGAATTAAAGGAAACAATTGTAATATATAATTTCACCTTCTGATAACCTCTGTCGTGATTGATTGTTAATCTGCTACAAATGATCTACAAATCTCTACTATTATTATAGTGGCATAATTCGCGGACGCTGTTGTTGATGTGGAGGTAGTGATTCTAGCGCATCAAAATTTTGGATATTTTATTGATATTCCTTCTAATTTAATCTCATTTCAGTGAATTTACTCTTTTTGTTTTGCTAAAGTTGTGTCAGCTTAAACCATTGAACTTATGTGTGCAGTCAAATTTATGCAAATTTATTACTTCTGCTGATATTAGAATATATTTCATGTTGTACTTGTACAAAAGTCAGTTTATTTCATTCCTCTTTGTAAGTAGTTTACTCAGGAGAACTTAAGATTAGGAAACAATGCATATATTTTCGATGTTGAAATACCTTTACCTTCAGTTATTCTCTATTGTGTTCATTTTCTAGGTGCCTATCTTTGGTCGAATTATCCCACTGTTAGACGTTTGATGGAGGTCGTCATTAGCAGGTATGCTAAGTATAATTAAAAATGAAGTAATTTGAAGTTGTTAATTGTACGTTAGGAATAGAATATGGCGAAAACATTTCAGTATTTATTCCATATTAATTTGTTTACTGGATATATCACACAGTGGAACAATACGATTTATTGGATGATGTTTTGACTATGCAGGATCCTTTAACCGACATAATTTGTCGACTTCATTAAACATAATAATTCAGTTTGTTTAATACCCTGCAATGAGTGAGGACAAATAACACAGGCCAAAGTAGTAGGATAGGGTTAATTAGATTAGCACAGCACAAAATCCTACCAAAATCTAGATTATTTGACCATAACAAGAAATCTAGAAAGCACGTCAGCCATAACATTACGTGCAATTATGTACAACCATACACGAAGATGGGAGTAAGATGACAGTCTTAAAATCTAAAATAACAGGGTGTAAGGAAAGATTGGTAGCAGAAATTTTATTCATCCAATCAACTGAGAATACGTACAATGAGAATGATTCAACACATTAAGCGGATATCTGAACAATTCTCCTATCCCTACAACATATGGGAAGGAAGAACTATAAAGAGAACTATAAAAATCAAGTTTCAAAGCTGTTTAGGTACAGTTGATATGAGTGTGTAAAATAAATTGTGTTCAAAACGTCATCCAGTAAATAATACTGTTCCACTGTGTGATATATCTAACAAACATATAATGGAATTGTATACCATCACAGTGGCCAAGTTTTTATACATAAATTAATTTAATTGTCGAACTTGTGTTTTACAGACTGTAGAAGCTGTTATAAGCGAGTTTTTTGTGCAGTTTTTTTCTACTAGTTTCATGCATGAGATTGATGCCAACACTTATCTGGCCCTGCTGCCTTCCCAACTGGCCTTCAGTAGCTTGATCGCATTTAGAATTTCTGCTTTCGTTGGAGGATTGGTGTCCACCGGCAGGCAGTTGTGTGCGTGCTGTTGTTGGTGATGGTATTTGTGGGGGAGTTGCGGGTGATGGTCGATTCACGAGTCCTTTAAAGTGATCAACTCATTGTTTCATTTCTCTCTCCTTGGTGATTAGGTCCCCTTGACTATCTGTTATAAGTTCCTCCTTTGTTTATCTATACTTGGATAGTGACCTGGTTATCTGATCTATCGTTCTGCTTCAGTTTCCGGCCAGTGTGTTGTGGAACTGTCCTTTGCCTTTCCTAGCATCCTTCTTCGCTTCTTTATTCAGTGCAGCATACATTGCACTCAATTTCTTCTCCTGTTGCTCATCTTTGCATTGAGTCATCATCTCTTTCACCATCCCCTCCTCTTCTATTAGCTTTCAAGTATGTGTTGACAGCCATTCCTTGCTTCGTCTCTTCTTTCTTCCTGGAGCAGTCGTAAACGTCTCCTTGAATATCACCTACAGAGAGTTCCAATGTACTTTTACTCAGGTTTCCTCCATGATGCCACGTATCGTCTCCGACTTTGCCGTGATCTGTTCTGTAGTGAAAGCATCTCTTGTAGTTTTGTCCTTCAGTTTCTGAATGGCGAACTTTAATTGTGGTCTGTCTCCAGTTGTTTTGAGGGATTTTAGCTCCACCTTGAGTGTCGCGAACCATATGATGTTCTGAGCCCACATCTACTCCCCTTCTCGACTTTGTAACCAGCAGGTTGCGTCTCCACTTCCTTGAACGGCATCGAGATGTAGTCTATGTGGTTTGTGGTGTTAATTGTCCGTCAGGCGAAATCCATTTCGCTTTGTGTACATGCTACTTCCGATCACTAGGTCATTGAAGGGGCAGAAGTATGTGAAGAGTTCTCCATTCTCATCCATGTCTCTAAGTGCGTGCTTCTCGATCCATGATGAGTTCTCTTCCCATGTTATCTGCTCCCAATTTGGCTTGCATTCATATCGCTTATAAGGATTTTGATGTCACCATTCCGGATGTTTGCCATTACTGTTTTTAGTTGTCTATAAAAATCTTCCCTTTTCTCTTGTTTCGTGTTGTTTGACTCGCTGTGTGCAGCACTGGATAATTGTAAGCCTTCCACTCGAGTTAAATCTTGGTGTCATAATTCCGCGTGAGGAGATCGGTTCGCACTGCATTAGGGCTTTAGCTGCCACTGGTGACATTATGATAATCACTAACTGCCTTAGTGTGCTTGTGGTTTTCGTCTGGGCGATCAGATCGGAGTAGATTACTAACTCACAAGTAGAGAATTCTAACAGAACTTATATGTTGTATCTTTTCATTTCTTTGGCTACTTGGGTAACTTTGCCAGGCCCGTACATTGTGCTGGCATTCCACGTCCCCATTCTTATTCTTGCCTTCATCGAAAGAAGACGCACCAGCTAATTGAATTACAGTAGACTTTCACCAGACTGCTGTGTCGTTTCTCCTCTCGGATTCCCACGAAGAATAAGTTTGGTTTTTATATTTCTTGTATTTTTAGTATTTTTCCCTCTTGTGCTTTGAAGTTTCTGTAGCAGTTTGGTTGATTTTTCAGGGCGGAGTCGCTAGCCCCACGCCCATTCTTCCTTCTTTTCCATGGCTTGTGACCGGCTAGAAAACTGGTGAGCTAGTAAATTAGGCGAGGCTTTCTGCACAGCTTGTGACGAATGATGTTTTGTATTGGATTATTGATTATCTATCAATTCCAATCAGGTGTTCCTGTTTATCTTTGTTGGATATTTGAGAAATTTGGAAAATTTTTTCCAGTATCTAGTTGTCTTTATAAAAAGTTGTTTATTTTTTCATTTGAAGAATAGTTTGCTGTATCTGTAAGACTTGTTTTTCAGTGACTATAATATTCTATGTTTGAACTCTACTATCTCGATGGGATTGTTCATTTCTAATAACAACATTCATTTAGATTCTTGGTCTCATACCAACATTAAATTGTAGGAGTAATTTTAGGACAGAAACTTCGGTGTCTTATCTCTCCTAGATAGATAAGCGATTTCTGTGCTGTAGTGTGAAGCCAATGCGACTAACATATTCTGCATGGGCCATCATCAGCATTTCCCTGTACGCGAATGGAGAAGGAGTCTTCAAATGATAGTCTTTCACTATCTTGACCTTGAAAAACATATTTTTAATACACTTTCATTTATTTATGTCGTTTGTGATCTCATTCAAAAATTGTTAAAGAAAAATAATTTCAACCAATCAGATTGTACTTTTAGGGAGACTCATGGAGAATGGAACCTAGCTTACTTCAAAAAAATAGATTGAACTACCTGAATAATAATAAGGTAAACTTTTTTGAACAATCAGACATATTCTATACACACTCCATTCCACCGGCCTAAATTTCGATCATTGTTCACTGATGAGTTGGTGGGAGGGGAGGTGGATGTAGGCATGTGTAATTAGTTGTTAACACAGTATCATATTTGTTAACCTTGGTCAATGTCACACTTATTATCACAATCTAATTATTATGAAATTATCTGTTATATCCTAATGTTTTTTTTTTATTCAAAAACACATTTTGACTACATTACTAACTGAATCATTATTTTATTTTAGTGATCTCGTTAATGGCTTAAAACAGAGTTCAACTGATCTTGATCATGGTGTTGAAGTGACAGAAAAATTGGTGAGTATTATTTCTTAAACTACGTACAAGCTTTATTAACAAAAAGAGTTAAGATTACATTCAGTCATCTAAAATACTAGTGTTTTTAAAGGACACTCTCCTACTTATTATTAGCTTCTCATTACCACCACTTTAGTTCTCATAATCTGATATATCCATCTAATTTCGACACATTATGTGAGATACATCTTATCAGTTAGTGATTTGAAGGCAAAGAAAACATTTTCCGATTTTGTGCAGTAATTGATACTGACTCATATCAACAGTGGGCATCTACTAGGTACATAAGCTTGTGTTTTTTATATTCCAGGCATATAACTTCATGTAATTAATAGAGTTACGATAATAAACTAGACATTTCTGGTGAATAAAATTCAGGAGCTTGCATAAGTTTAAAAGTGAACATACTGGCGTATGAATCATTGTCCTTATTCTCACTGACTGACATTTTCTTCCTAAATTAACTTTCCCTTTTATAAACTCTATTGTCAATGCAAGATAACGTTACAGATTATAGTAAAGAGCTACGTCTCTTGGAAAGATTTTAATTATTCTTATGTGTTGAAGACATCTGTTTTCGAATAAAGCGAGAATAATAGTTTGTGATGAATGATGTGGTACCGTCATTTATTTATGTGCCTTCTTACAAGCTGCTTACAGCCTAAATAAATTATTATTAAGTTTGTAACGGTAGAAGACGAAAGACTTGGTAAAGGAATGTTTATTTGCAATCTGGTATCTCTATATAGCCAAATTATGTACACCTTATCTTCATTTGCACAGATCTTCCGTGTTGTGCTACTTCTGGCCTTCATATTGTGTTTCTTTGTGTTCGTTTCACGTCTCCCATGTATCCCTGCAACGCTGTATCATTCGCTTTCTCTGACATCGAATTTATCTCCCTGCTATTTGATGTTTTTGTCTCCTCATATATATACTACTGATAAACCTTATCAGTAGTAAAAAATTGTAACATTTGCAAATTTTACATCATGTCAGTTGACAAGAAGTTCCGAATTAAGTAAACACCGGTCAGAAAATTAGGCTTACATAGTCTGTACACAGGAACGTGAAGTTGGAAAAAAGTAAATCCATGCATACAATGGCAAAGGAGGTACTTAAAAAAGATGAAAGTTGTGTAATATGAGGAGTAACTAATAAATTAGGTAACAATGTACTGAGTTCAGTTCAAATCATAGAAACAAGAGACAAGCAAGATTACACTATATCACGCTGATATAGTAAGTAGCTGATTATAAGCCAACGGAAAAAACGACGGTACCATTTTATTCTGCAAAAACTGTTGTTCTTGCTTTATTCAAATTCGCAAAGGTGAATAAATGTACGGAGAAACATCTGTTTTTATAGTGGGTAGTGACTGAACTAAAGGTGAAGTAAAAGTTTGGGTCACTGCAGGACTCGAATCTGCGGCTTCCAAACTAATGCTTTGATGTCTTATTAGCTGAACTGCGAAACCTGGCCAAGTCATCGTTTCACTGCAGTCAACATGGGTAATGCCTAGCTATCTCAGACAGTCACACCACCAACATTTTTTGTGGAAAAAGGTTAGGTCCTAAATGATGTGGCAATTAAAGAAGAGAATATCAAACAACTGAATCTAAACCTGTGGTTCAGAGAGTTAATAATTAATTAACTGTATAGTCGTAAAACTCGACATTCAATTTTGAGATGAAATAATGGAATAGAGCTATTAGTACATCTAATCCTGCAAGTATGTATTTATTCGTATTTTTTCAGTTATTTAAATTCCCTTTGTGATGTAACTGTTTTGTAATGTGTGTTGTGTTATTTGTACATTATTCTTTCTTTTATTTTACTGAAGAATTATGAAATAGAAGTTCAGCTCATTCTTCGTCTAGAATCGTTTTTACTTTCAAATGAAGTCACTGCTGAAACTTCAAAACTCATCGGTAAAATGGTTCGAAATAATCCTCGTGGACCATGTCGCCGTCTTCCAGATGAACAGCTTCATTGCCTTCGTGCTCTGTGTGAACGTCTTCACCTAGAACGTCGGTTATGGAGTAGTCGAAGTCCTGACTTTTTGCTTGACTTATTACGTAGTCAAGGTAAATCTGATGTAAATTTGTTTTGTTTAATTTTTTTAATAGACAAAAAAGAGTTTGATTTTCAGCCAATGAATCCTAGGTCCGTGTGTTGCTCGTCCTCCTTTAGCCTCGATTTCTAAGTAATATCAACAGCCACCCCCCGCTCACACACAATAAGTGGGGCTCATAGTCTGGTCGATGAAAAGCCTGCTCGAACATTTGAGTTATAATTCAAGCTAATCACCTCCATGCAGTTGTTTCATTTCATGCTGTTTACTTTAATTGGTGTGTTTCTGAAATCTCTTTTCTCTTATTTTTTTTTCATTTCAAAAATTTACCAGCTAACAGTGTTGTTGCTCAACCATGGCTTATGCGTTTAGTGGAATCTACTGGACAAGATTTAGATGTTCTTCCTGTACAGTGTTTATGTGAATACCTACTCTATGATGCTATGACACGTGTACAAACGTATAAAACTGATTGGTCAGATCAATCAAAAAACTTGATACAATCCGTGAATATAGATGAAATATTTAACAGTCTTCCAAGTCATAATCCAGGTATGTACATTTATGTTTTCTTTCACATATTTTGTTGATTACAATAAAAGGTGAATGATTTATATTCTTGTATTTTTAAAAAGTGTTCACTTTTAGTAGTACTTAACAGCAATGAATCATTTTAGTTTGGACAATATAGTGTCTGATGTGTAGTTATGGTGCTTTTTGATGTTAGGAGTCAATCAGCAGGAAGTATTGTTTAGTCTAAGACTCTTTTTTTTACCGCTGATCAGTACAAGTTATCCACCAACGTTGAAGAAATTTATATACCATTTGTTATTCAAACTTTGTAGTATTCATCGCCAAAGTCAACGACTTCACCAGTACCTTATTCAAATCACAATTGACTCTGTGTTTGACTAGATTAGATGTCGATATAGATTGCTGGAGGATAGACTGTCATTATTCATATATCTCAGGTTAAAATCTAGCAGCTCTGTTGTGCATATGTTTGTTTCATGAACGAATGATAATTTCCTGTATGTATCTGACTATCGACTATCGACCAAAGGGCGTGTGTACTGCTCATCAGTTCGCTCCGTCCTCCTTTATGGCTGTGAGACCTGGCCATTGAAAGCGGAAGACATGAAAAGATTAGCTGTCTTCGATCATAGGTGTCTGCGTTCTATCTCCCGCGTGAAGTGGTATAATAAGGTGAGCAATACTGAGGTTAGGCATCATGTGCTAGGCAAGGAGGGGAAATCAGTCGACGAGACTGTGAAATTACATCGATTGAGATGGTTAGGACATGTGTTAAGTATGCCTAGTCATCGCCTTCCTCGACAACAGGCAATGTTAGCTGATATAGGGTCAGGCTGGAAAAGAGCTAGCGGCGGTCAAACGAAAACATGGCACCAGTCAATGAAATCCACAACAGTTAGTCTAAGCCAGCCACGTAGGAAGGTGTAGACTTCCTGGTTGGGGTCCTCGGGACGGTAAAAACCAATGGTTGGAAACAATTGGTGACATGGCTCAAAATCGTTGTCAATGGTGCAGATGCATCCACTCCTTGTGACTCATGATTTCCAATGAAACTGTTTTGTTCTTCGTTATTACTATACCTTTGTCTCACACCTCTGTTTACTGTCTATATTATTATGCATTTCTCCTACTTTCTTCTCTTGCTTTGTGTGCTACAAGGAGTGGAGTGTGGCGACTTGAACTGCCGCACATATGTGCAAAGTTCTATGTCGAAAACAAACATACAAACAGTATGTATCTGAGGTTCGCTTTATTGGAATAGTTGGTAGTTATATCTGATGTTAAACAATAAAAAAACCCTATATGTACTCAAAACATCGATAATGTGCATTGCATTTTAAATTTCTCTGAAAATAATGTTAACTTCATGTGTAGCTATTCAGTCAAATCTTGATCAGAGTTCATATAGATATTCATTTTTTTTCTCACTCTCTGTAATCCTGTCAATAATTATTTGTGCATTTTTTGATAACAGTTTTGTCATATTTCTTTTTTCTCTACCGATGTTTTCCCCCAGAAAGTTTAAAGTTAAAAGAAACGAACAAATTAATTTCTCATTTGGTAGCTAAATTACAAGAAAAACTAACACTGAATTCATTCGATTATTCAGTTTCGGATGCATTCACTCATTCTTTCTTCAGCAGATTAAGTGATTCACGTCGTGTAGTCAGACAAGCTGCTCGTCAGGTAAGCATAACAAATGCTGACTTTTAATAAAAAATTTTACAATCTTTGTATTTGAATTTCTATTATTATTTTTTATCTGACTATATTTATAATTATTAAAATATTATGGGTTGTAGATTGATTTACAAATAATATTTATCACAAGGTAACTGTAATATTCTTCAAGTAATGAAATCTTTGAAAATTTCGGCTCAACCTGCCGAACATCCAACACCTCCCTGAATGGGTTATAGACACAAGTCCTCCTTCCTTAACTGAGGTTACTAAAGCTGTCACTAGTCTGAAACAAGGCAAAGCAGCAGGACCTGATGGAATGATTCCAGAAGTATTTAAGTATTGTGGAGAAAGTTTACTGTTTGCATTAACTGAGGTACTAGGCAGCGTCTGGAAATCAGAGGAAGTCCCATCGGGTTGGTGTAAGTCACTGATCATCCCGATATACAAGAAGGGAGACAAGTCTTCTTGTGATAATCACATAGGGATTAGCTTGACTAATATAGTATCTAAAGTTCTAGGCTCAATAATATTGCGTAGACTAAGTGGTGCTCGGGAGGCACAAACACGAGAGAACCAGGCAGGCTTTAGACCAGGAAGAGAGTGTATTGATCATATCTTCACCCTTCGACAGATTCTAGAACATAGGCATTCCTACCGGCGTCCAACAATCATTATATTTCTTGACCTAAAGGCGGCATTCGATTCTGTCGACCAAGAGGTTCTCTGGCGATGCTTGGCTGTGGAGGGAATGCCGAGAAAATACATTGTACTGATCAAGGCACTCTACTCGAACTCATGCAGCCAGGTGAGGGCTTATGGTGAGTTGTCATCTGTAGTGGTGACAACTTGGGGTGTCCGTCAGGGATGTCCATTATCCCCATTCCTATTCAACTTCATCATAGACGTACTAATGGACTTAACCCTAACACCCTTCAGCGACTCACGGATTGACTTGCTACCAGGGAATAATCTCGTCAACTTAGAATATGCGGACGATATAGTCCTTATAGGCGAGGACGCTGACAAAATGCAGAGTCTTCTGAACACCTTGAGCTGCAATCTACGAATGTTTGACATGCAATTCCCTCCCGCCAAATGTAAGATGGTGTTACAGGACTGGACTACACTGACTCCTAGTTTAGAAATAGGGAGTGAAGTGGTAGAGCACATTGACCGCTTCACTTATTTGGGAAGTACCATCAGCCCCAACGGGTTGATCTCCGACGAAATCTCGGCCTGAATACAGAGGGCTAGTTTCGCATATGCCAGTTTACGCCGTCTCTGGCGTGGACGTGATATCCGGCTATCGACCAAAGAGCGTGTGTACTGATCAACAGTCCGCTCCGTCCTCTACGGTAGTCAGTGGAACCTGGCCACTGAGAGTGGAAGACATGAAAAGATTAGCTGTCTTTGGTCATAGGTGTCTGCGTTCTATCTCCCGTGTGAATTGGTATAATAAGGTGAGCAATATTAAGGTTAGGCGTCGAGTGCTAGGTAAGGCGGGAAAATCAGTCGACGAGACTGTGAAATTACATCGACTGAGATGGTTGAGACATGTGTTACGTGTGCCTAGTCATCGCCTTCCTCTACGGGCAATGTTAGCTGATATAGGGCCAGGCTGGAAAAGAGCTAGCGGCGGTCAAACCAAAACATAGCACCAGTCAATGAAATCCACAACAGTTAGTCTAAGCCACGTAGCAAGGTGTAGACTTCCTGACTGGTTGGGGTCCTCGGGACGGTAAAAATCATTGGTTGGAAACAATTGGTGATATGGCTCAAAATCGTTCTCAATGGCTAGTGCAGATGCATCCACTCCTTGTGACTTATGATTTCCAATGAAACTGTTTTGTTCTTCGTTATTACAATGCCTTTCTCTCACACCTCTGTCCACTGTCTATATTATTATGCATTTCTCCTACTTTCTTCTCTTGCTTTGTGTGCTACAAGGAGTGGAGTGTGGCGACTTGAACTGCCGCACATATGTGCAAAGTTCTATGTCGAAAGCCGACCGACCAATCATATTGTATTGTTGAAATATATCAGTTATCTCTGAGGTCATAATTACTCTAAATCTTTCACAAAGGGGTGCATGTTTTATTGATAAATATTAGCGTCATCTTTTCAGCGATAAGGTGTATGTGTTCATGCACCTGTGTGTCAGATAAAGAGAAGGAGAGAGAGAGGGAGATTCAGACTTATTCATCAAATGATGCTAATTTCAGCCTGGGTAACTGGATGTTTTTATAGGAGATGCTTCTCAACCATAATAGTCGTTTTTATGTAATATACAGTAAATTATTTATTATTTTATTCCTTTAAGTTCCCAGTGGAACACAGGGCTTCACGCTAGAGGCTTGAAATTTCGGTAGCAGTGGTGTTTATTTATACTGGATAGGGTTGCTAGCCTCATGCTCAACCTTCCCTCTTTACCAGTTTTATTAGTGGTCTAATGAGGTAAAGGAGTGAGTCGCCCGGGGGTTGAACCCCGAGTCACCTACGTTGTTAGCGAGCATTCTGCCGCTGTGCTACCGATGCACAGAAAACACAGTGACACAGTAGTTTTTCATTTACCAATAAGTCATAATAATAAATTGCACTGAACTCTCTTGTGAATTAAATCAAATCAACTTGTCATGCAATATAATTGTAATTTACCACAGTGATAAGATTTTATTCTTAGATGTATACTCAATTTTTGTTTTCCATTACTCTTTTTTTCTCTAATTTATTTTCATTTTTCAGTGTATGCGTTCACTTGTGCCTGAAGTTGTGAATGATTCACCAGGGAAGGAACTAACTGATACTGCCAGTAGATGGTTATATATACTTGAATATTTTAATCAACTGAGTGTATTAAACTCCGAGAACAAGTCGGAATCGTTGAATTCACACGTCTTGAAAGAACAACTGACTGGACCAATATTGACGTCATTTCAAGTTGAAAATGATTTGGATATTTTATCTGCTCATTTAGTATTTCTAAAGCGGATGACTTATTCACCTAGTTTTACGGTAAATTTGTACAAAATTTTTTTCATTTTTTTAAATCTTTATTTCCTAAATGAAGGTTATTGTAAAGCGAGTCGTAATAAAGAGAAAAATCCTAAATTTATGGATCATTAAAAATTGGGAATTTTTCAATATTTTATTGTCTGATTATCCTGATGGTAAATTCTCTGACTTTTACATTGATTAATCTAGCTGAGAATCTTTAAGAAAACATAACTTTCCTCAATGCAGCATCTATATCCTGCTGCTGACTACCCGTAGACGTGAAGTCTAGGTCAAGCAGTGCTTTCTACAGATCGACTACTCTTCATAGCTGATATATTGTTGTTCTCCGTTACTCAGATACTCTTCAGTTTTATAAACTGAGTACTTACTATTGTCATGAAGATGATACCTTGCTTGTGTGGAAGGTCCTGTTCTCAGTGTACTGTTACTAGAAATTCCCGGTATATAATCCAAAAATGTTATTTTTCCCTCTCTCTTTCTCTATTTCTATTGGTTACTTTTGTAGAACGATTTGTATGAACTTACACGAATGAGTAGTTTGAGTTCATTGGCTTCACTGCAGCGGATTAGACACTTCTGTTATCCCCTTTCTTAACTTCTAAGTAGGTCAGTTTTTCTCCTATCCCCTATACATTTTTCGCTCTTCCTTTCCTTTTCCTTGAGGTGACTAAAAGACTTGAATCATTTTATCTTTGTTTCCGTTTATGAACTAACCAATCGATCCATTTATTTGCATATGTGCAACGAAGGAATCTTTCTTTCCATTGAAGTCTTTTTTCACTAATCCTTTTTTATACCATATGACTTATATCTTCAGCTGTCGGCTTGTATTGGTAGTAGTAATAATTATGCTTATCATTATGGCCAAGTATATATTAGTGTCTGAAGTTTGTATTAAACAACTGAGGTGGAGTCACAAACATTGGTCATATATTTAAATCCAAAAATCGTTTAACTTTATCTCTGATCACGCATTGAATGAAAATATATTTAGTTTGTGCGTAAATATAAAATACAGAAGTAACCTGAAGGTAGTCAATTCAATGATTTACTAAATGGATATTAGGTGCGTACATAGTTAACTATTTTAAGTGTGAATTTCTTCACGGAGTAACTTCAATTGAAGAGGTATTAACAAGCAGCTTTGTTTTGTCCTGTTTTGGGACTATTCAGGAGTGCACATTCACGACTCTTTCAGAAATCGAAATCAGGGCCCTCAGCCGAAGCATATTTTTATTCATTTTTTAGTGATCAACAGTAATCAACAGGTTTAATTTGGTTCCAACCTGTGAAGTATTGGTGTGAAAATGCGTCTTTGATACATTGTTCTGCACTGTATTATAATAATTTATATTGAATTGCAGCTGCTGTCTTGCTGTTGTTTCTTATAAAACAACTTGATCTCTGAAGTTCTATCTACAGTTGCATTTGAATAGTGCTGAGAGTAATTCAGTTGGAAAGACTGACAGACAGCTGTTAATGTTAAAAATTCTTATTTTATACTGTGCAAAAAATGTTAATCGGCTAATACATCCCAACTCCCTAGTCTTTCATTTTTAATATTTGTTTGATATTAGATGGTTGAAGGCAATTGACAGGAAGCGTTCGACCTAGGTTTCATGCTAGTTGGCACTCACCAGTCAGTAAGGCGTATCTGCAACCTTGAAGGAACTTATGTCCCTTCTGAATTCAGTCTGCATCAAAGATAGGACTAGACGCATTACGCTAGTTGCTAACTAGTCTCCAATCAAAAAAGAATATCTAAAACAGTCCTACAGGTGGTCAATCGCGAGCCCGAATAGCTCAGTGGTAACGTCTCTGACTGCACCACTGGGTGACGCGAATTCGAATCTCAGGATGGACATAAGTTCCTTCAAGGTTGCAGATACGCTTCGCTGACTGGTGGGTGCCAACTAGCACGAAAACTACTTTCAAGGCTCCCTGCCGATTGCCTTCAACCATCTAACACCAACAACTCACAGTGCACCATAATGGCGAGCCACCTAGAATGGGGTGGCTACATTGCAAACTTGAGTGATAGAATTCAGTCTTCACCAAAGAGAGGACTAGACACATTACACTAGTTATTAATATTTGTTTGTTTCACATACCTCAGAGATTTTTCTCTTACTAACTTTAATTTCGTCGTATGTTTTATTTCTGTTTACCCTTATTTTTCTGTATTCAGTCTTGGCAAACACTGGTAACTGGATTAAGTCAGTTCATCCGAACTCGACGGACAATTGTTTCAAATTTACTGCACAGACATACTTCACAGTGTCATGATTCTTTAAATTTAATTAGTAAAACTGCATATACAGTGTTGGAAGCTATGGCTGAGATATTTACACGTTATGTGAATCATTGTTGTACAATTACTGAAGCGATACCAGTTATGGAGAAAAAGGTCAGTTTCGTGTTACACCATTGCTCGTGTTGTTTTTGAAGAGTACTCAACTTTTTTTTCTTACTCTTATTTCACGCTTAGTTATCACACGGACTTCTCGTTTTTTCCCAGCAGTTCATCAATCTATAATGTTTGACATTGTTATCTCTTTTTCCTTTTTACTATTTTGTAGAGTGTATTTGTTTCATGGTCCCCAGATTGTCAATACCCATTCGATATCGAATTTATTCAAGCACAAATTCTATTACTGACTCACTTAAATGATGATCTACCTGAAGTGAATTCCGTTACAGGTGAACCTAGCTGGTGGATTCGATTACGAGATACATGGTTCATTTCGTCGGACTGTCGATCATCTTCTCATAATAATAACAGTGTTCAGTTGTATCGTATGCCAGAAATGTCACCACTAGCGTGTTCAGAAACTTTGACCGATGTATGTAAGAAGCAAACAGGACAAGATATTTGGTTTACTAATGAGTCATCTGACACTATACCACAGTTGAAATTCTCCACTGAATTACGTAGCAGCTTAATAGAAACCAATCAAACCCCACTTGTTTATGCAGGTAAGTTGTAAATTTTTTATAAAATTGGATTGTTTGATACCGGTCTTATCTTTTACTTGAAAGCCTTCCTAAGTTATGTATGTCTAGATAAGTTGACTAAAATAACCATTTAACATTATGGAGGCATTTATTAGTAATTTAGAGACTATTTGTATTGAAATGTGATGGTAGCTAAAATTGAAATGGATTGGAAACCACTGATCAGACAGAAATGTTAGAGCAGATCGTAAACGTATAGACTGTTGAACTGTAGCGTATCGGATATGAAAGCTTCTTCAACTCGAGTACCTGACAGTATATTAGTCAACTATTGGTTCGTACAGTTAGAAATCCATTCATGGTCTAGCTTTATTTTCCGATGGTACTATACCTCAGTATGAACTTTATAGTTGTAGGTAATCGGTTTTTCTCGGTGGCCTAGATTATTTATTGATAAACAGGTCATGATGGATTTATAACCCGTTTTTTTGGACTGCTTTTTCACTATGACTGAATTCGGCAAATTGAACTACAGTTGTCTTCTCGATACTATTTAATAAACGGTTGCTAGTGGCGGAATCGAAAACAAACGTTTCGCCTTATTTGGGATTCATCAGCCAGATTTGTCCACACTGAACACAGTGATATTATTGTTGCCGGTGAAACTGAAGCTTAACACCCCATCTTCAAAGTTTTATCCATTAGGCTACTGAGCCACTAAATTCATCTCTTGTACAAATGGTTTCAAAATTAATGGCATCATGGAAGTGTTCATTCCAGGAGTTGATTTGCTATAAAAGGCTGATAATTTTGGTCCAGTAAAAATGAACAATGGGAAATTCACTTATAATTTATTAGATTTTATTGCACGGCATTCGGTGTATTTTGTTTATTCACTTGCATATATTTATGTAAATAGAAGTAGGCAAACAAGTGTTCATTTAAAAATTATTTTACTACTATTATCATAGGGGATAAGAGACTTGGTGATGAAATGTTTACCTAGAATTTGATTTCTCTATATAGGGAAATTATGTACACCTTATCTGAAAATTGTCGTTCGCACAGATATTCTGTGTTGTGCTATTTCCGCTCTTCATATTGTGTTTCTCTGTCTTCTTTTCGTGTCTCTCATGTTTCGCCACAACGCTGAATCTTTCTTTGCTCTCTTTGACGTCAAATCTATCTCTCCGCTATCTGATATTTTTATGCCGATGTTTATATACTACTGATAAATCTTTTCAGTAGCAGTCGCTACACTATAATCTGGTGTTAAAATCCATTACAAAGTATTCATTTGAATAATTTTCTTTACATATTTCTATTTCATTCAGTTAAATTACTTTAATTGTATTTCTCTGTCATTTTATTATTTTTTTTTAGCCTTTTTAAATATGACATTTATGGAACTCAATGAATTAATGAAAAGTTTACCATTATATGTTTTGAAGAAAACTACAATCAAGTTACTTTCAGAGAGGATTAATTCACTCCCTACAGTCTATCAGAATGAAAAGGTTCTGAGTGAATTGAAAGAAATTATTGTTAGCTCAAATGTAGGTTTTTTCTTTTTTAAAATGTATCATTATTACTTGTAGTGTGTTTATTACTTGGTACTTGTCTCAGATGAATTATCAACCTCGCTTTCTCTCATTTCGGAAAATAGACTCATAACCTATTGCTGTTCACTGTGACACAAATATGTATCTTATAAAATAATAATACAATTCGAAATTATTATTTTATACGGTTGTCAGTGTAATTTTAGGTAGTCAGAGGTTATCGATCCCGCACTCTCTGTAAGCACATTAATTATTAAAGTTAAATGTGTTCCCACCATATGACTAGATACACCGGATGAAAAGTTTGCTATTGTTATTAGATGAAATCCTTTTATACAGAGATTTTCTGCTCAGTCTCTGTAGGTTAATCAAGAGGAAATTCATATAATCAAACTAGCGATTGCTAACTAGAAGTCCATACTATGTAACAAATAAACACTTATATTTTTAAAGTGGCGTTGAATGTGGTTAGTTAAATTACTTATCTTTCATGTATCGATGAGGTTTCCGTGCATTGAGATTCACTTCAATTAATTTTTGTCTCTGCTTTTGGTTGAAAATGATCTTTTCTGAAGGACTGTAAAGTTGAAATCAAAAAGGTTAAATGAAAGTTCAAGATTGATCACTAATGACTTTAGCTAGAAAGAATCATTGAAAACCATGGAGTACTGGACAGTTTGGGACACTTTAGCAGCACAGACCCATGAACCTATGATGGTTCAGTTTTAATATCAGTTTGGAAATTAGGGAAGCAATGCTTAGTTGAGATGGTCTTAGCTTTTAACTGGAAACAGTTATTTTCACTTTAGGGTACTATTTAGCGGATTATGCAAGACAGTTCTTGTTTGGGATGTATAGATGCTTTACACTCATATTATCTTCGAAAATGATAGGTGATTATATTACGAATATAATATATACATATATATATATATACATATATACTGTTAAACCGATATTTCAGGAAGACTTAGTTGCTCATTTCAAATAAAGTGCCTATAAATTAAAGAATTTAATTCACTATTTAACATAATCTAATTAGCTTACTGTCGATTCGTATCATATATGACAGTTAGTTGTACTACTTGAACTCTTTCATTGAAATTGGAAAATTGCTTTTGAAGTCGTGATCGCAATGAATAAAAACTTCACATTTGTGGGACATGAAGATATCTGGATAATATATATATATATATATATATATATATATATATATATAGTCGTTATTCCTTTCATAATCCACATTATGTGTCGGTCCTCTTTGCTTTTTTTTACAACAACGTGAACTTATACACATCTCTATGCCAGTCTCTGCCTTAATTTCGCAGTCAATCTGTCAGTTATTTGCCACTGTATTAATTTTATAAATACAGTTGAGTAGTAAAAAAAGTTTGGATTACCCATGAGGATGATAATGTGTAACATTATGCTTTTCTGTTATTATTTAAAGGAAACAAAATCTGTAAATTTGATGGATGTTGATTCGCCTGAAGAATTAACAGTCTCAGCACCTAAGTGTCACCGGATTCAAGTGGGTTCTTCAATACTTCCTAGAAAAGAAGTCAGTGCAGAGAAGCTATCGGTAAGGTGTTTTTTCTCCTAATGATTCAGTATTACTGCTTTATTTTAAGTGATAATTAATAATTCTCTTTTTGTATTTTTATTTGAAGTATAATATATCTGTGATAATATTTTATCCTTACTTGGGGCTGCGTCAGTTTGCGTAGAGTGCCTTGTAGAGTGAAGAAACTATTGTAGAATAAAACCATCGGAGTTGTTTTTATAAGATGATTTATTTCTCGATGGAAAATTGTAATATCCTCTTTCTACTTTTACAATATTGCAGGCATCATTAGATTACCAATTAACTGATTTTAGGCTTTGAAGATTATTTGTAGCTTTAAGTAAACCACAGTAAGCAGTTAGTACATTCATGTACTAAATTATGGGTGAGATAAATACCCACATTATTATTTATTTTATTCTTTTGCGTTCCGAGTGGTACATGGGGCTTCAAGCTTGAGCTTTGAACTTTCAGTAGCAGTGGTGCTTTTAACGGAGTGGGCTTGCTGAACCATTGACGCACCCATATTCCATACGTCTGAATAGTCAATATTTTGATAATATCTTATGCAAGTGCTCTTCTACATAATGCTTATTGTGAGCTTTTTTGGCTATTACTTCGGATTCATTTCATCATTTCCCTTCAGGTATTGGTTTTGTAGGGATTTGAAGTAGTTTAGTGTAGGTTTCATTATGAATCGACATCAGCTAGAGAATCATTGCGTGTAAAGAAGTAATGGAAAAATGTTTTGTTACACTCTGGGATTCTTTATTTGTAGTGGTGTTAGATGAAAGTGGCTCTGTATCACGAATAGTGCTTAGTTAGAATGCTTAGATCATTAAGTTTCAGTTAAGCGGCTGATTGATATACGTGCTCATTGCGATTCCAAAACTTAGCAATGCAATCTCTGTTCACCCAGATTAGGACATGCGTTAGATTTCATATTTTTTAATGATAAATTCACGTGAACATTAAACAATTTGACTAACGTTTTTCCAAAGCAGTCGTATACGATTTGTTTAAGTATTCATTTAAAATTTATACAGTATTTTGAAGTTGCGCATATTGTTTTTTTTATATTTCTAGTCCCCGTTATCAACAAAGGAAACAAAGGAATTGGATTACAAGATGGCTTCGTCTTCAGAGAAAGATTTGGTTCATCCTATAATTTCGTAAGATTATTTTGTGCATTTTTCCATTATATATATATATATATTAGCAAGCAATACACCGAAAACATCACCACTGGAAAAAGAAAAGACAGCAATTTAATAATGAACTTTCACTACACACCAATGAAAGATAAAGCTGACTTAAGTGATTTTCAGAATTAGGATGGTTTGAGTGTACACTTGTCTTCAGACTTGACATTTAAAAAATTCATAAATGAACATCATGCAGCAGACAGAAAAGGCGGAAGCGGAATTATTTTAGAAACAGTAACATGCTTGATGAAATCAAATTCTGTTAAAGGATAAGATATATTTTTGATATAATTTTGGCCTAACAGACTGTTATATGATATTTTACTGTAGAGCTTGAGGAAGTAGTTGTTCCTATAAAGTTAATTGTAAATACAATTATCTACCTACGCTTATTGTTATGAAACAGTTACAAATTTAAAGTATTAACAGCCGGTAATGTGGTATAAATACAGAAAAGGCACATAAACGTCAGAACATTAGTATTTTATGAATACAACCAACCTATAGGGCCTCTAAACATCAATAAAAACAAATGCCTAGTGTCGTCGCTTTCTAAAATTCACTCGAGATTGAATTATTTGTGATCTCTCTGTGTGCATTTGTTTTGATGGCTGTAATTCTCAACTATTTGCATTGGTTATGCCTGAAGACAGGTAGAATGTATCCAGACGCTAGGAAAGAGGTATAGATGTATTTCGATCTCATGAAATCTGTTATGGTTGCAACTGTTTTATCGTTATAAACAGTGTTGTTAGATTTTCACTTATTTCGGCACTGGACTCTTTCAAACAGTTATGAATTCTTGATATTAGATGGTTGGAGAGCAATCGACAGGAAGCCTTCGACCTAGGTTTCATGCTCGTTGGCACTCATCAGTCATCAGGGCGTATCTGCAACCTGGAAGGAACTCATGTCACTTTTGAGATTCGAATCCACTTCACACAATGGTGCAGTCAGAGGCGGGTTCGCCAACATGACTGATAGAATTCAGTCTGCACCAAACAAAGCACTAGTCATATTACACTAGTTACTTACTACTTGTCAAGATTTAAATAGCAACACTATCACCTATTTGGTGATCACCTTTGATCATTTTGGATACAAATTTAAGCAAACAACATCTTATATAGCTCGTGACTGGTCATTGTTGTATTAAGATTATTTTAACATCCACGACTGTGTTATTATGTTTATGTTTTTGTTGTCTCAACTTCAAATCGAAAACTATGTAGAGAAACGGATTCATTTGGAACATATGGTCTATATGAATTAGTGAATATCTTGCCAAAGAATATACAACTGTCGTTAACAAAGCCAATCCTATTAGGTGCAGATATACAGTATGATTTAATTCTTTGTTCAGTTCATCGTTTACTGTTTGAACGCGGTCAATTCTATGAAAATTACATGCAGCATGTAAATCTTTCCAGTTTTGGTGGAAATCATAATTACTTTATAAATGAATTATTAAATCAAGCAAATCCAGTATTTTTGAGGAAATTAGTTTGCGTATTGTTACAATATACTGATACTGAGCAAATACAGTAAGTTATTCAGTTTTTCCTTCTTTCTATGAGTTGATATTTGTCTTTGCTTTACCATATTAATTTATGGGATTTTGAAATTCCCAGTATGTATCACTATTCAGACAGTAACTATATTCCTTCAATTGATTCAGGTGGCTTATTTTCATAAGATGTGAAAACTCTTCTTGGTGAGTACGGTATGTACATTATAACACAATATATGCCCTGTTTATAATCGCTTATATGGAAAAGAACAAGATTTATAGCTGTTATAAGTTATACGAAGTTCATCTTGTATTTTTGTTGTAGTCATTTAGATGTAGTAGAGTGCATCTCTTGTTTTCAAAATGCATTTTCATTATACCTTGTGTACTTGTGTGGTAAAGTATTTTATGTTGCATTACATAATATGTTCTCCCACATAATGACAACATTATAAAACCAAAAAACTAGACTGCCTTAAATGACTTAATGCTGGTAGATTCACTGAATTCATCATTTGGTGACACGGACGAAAATCTTTGATGGGACATCAGCTCCTCTAATTTTGCAAGTGAGTTCCAATAGAAAGGATACAGGTTCAGGGTTCTTACCGATCTCCTTCAATCATCTGACATGCTAGACTGAGTTTTACCTTTTGTGCTGCCATAATCTCTATCTTTTCCTTGTATCTCTTCTTGATTCTTTGTTTTAGACCAGTTAAGGCACTTAATTTTATCACAGCCTTGTTTACTCTACCTCGTCTACTTTATCCTGTTCCACGTGCTGAACCGCGTGATCGTCCAGACGCTGCTGTCGCTCTGTCCTCGGTGCATCTCCTGTCATTAGTTGAAGCATGTAAACTTATCGAATATGTCCTTAGTGAAGCGTATGAATTGGTTAAACAGAACGATGATAAACGGATTGTGAATTGGGATGTAAGTTTACTTGAAGTAATTTTATCGTATGTTGAATTACATTACGTAAATTTCTATTGTATTAAACCACTCTTGATATACGATTAACGTATTTCAATACTATCACTCCACATATATTTGCATAAAATTGATCAGGAACCTTGGTCATTAGCTTAGCTGTTCATATGCTGCGTGTATATTGGTGAAATTCTGTGGGCTGGTAGTTTCTGTATCTACTGCCGGCTTGGTGTACACATTTCTTGCTTGTAGACAGTATAATAATAATAATAATAATAATAATAATAATAATAACGGTCAGTTTGTTTCAAACAGTATTGTCGATTCAGTTAGGATTGAATCTAATGTTCTGTTGAAATAGTATGGTGAGGGGAAATACAAAATTAACAGTTATAACACAGCTTAAATGATGTTCACACTTATGAAAAAATAAACAAATAAAATAAAAACAAAAAATTTGAGAGGATTATAAATATAAGTACAATAACAATAAAGCTTGATGTTACTAGGGTGGTGGAAATGGTTTATTTAGTAGTGCAAAGAAGGTTAGTTAGTTCATGTCTGACACTATTTTCATCACATAAAGTACGTGCCAAATATGGCATAGTGGAAATTTTGTACTTAGACGGACATGCATAAAGTCTTCTGAAAAGACTTCTTGTTTTACCTGAGGAGACACAAGATTGGAGCTGCGGGTAGAGTGGGTGCTCACAGTCTAACGAAATCCCTTTATCAAATTTGTTGCATGACATCAAGTGCCTATCAGTGACAATGTCAACGATATGGCCCAATGGCATACCACTAGCCCTATTGACAGTCTTCAAAGTTCTACGAAGGATGATATAGTCTTTTTTAAGCAATCCAGGAAAGAATAAGGGTGAACAGTAAAGAAGAATAGGTAAAATACACGAGTTGATAAACTGTAAGAGGAGAGGTTTAGTTATGCCTGAGTGCCTTAACTTCTTAACGTAAAAAGTCAAACGAAATATTCTTTTAGAAATCGCTAAGACATGGGATGACCAGGATAGGTCAGTAGAAAGAATTAATCCAAGATACTTAACTTCAGACTTGGTTTCTATATCAGTATCATCGATTTTGCAACAGTCATAGGAAACAACGGCTTCATTTAACTTTCGTTTACATCGGAAACTGAAATTAACAGTCTGACATTTGGAAGGATTAAGTTTAAGGTTGTTAGATGAACACCATTTGCTAATTTCTGATAGAAAGTTGTTTATCTTAGTGCAGTCAAGCTGAGAGTTAACAGACATTGAAATAGTTAGATCATCGGCATACTTAACAAAGTTCATTTCATCAGAGTGAGGCAAGTCATGCAAGAAGAAAGAAAACAGAAAAGGAGAAAGGACAGTGTCTTGAGGGACACCAGCCTCAGTAAGCAACGAAGTGGACGACTTTCCCTGACATACAGTGTACTGCTTTCTTCCTGAGAAATAAGAATGCAGCCATTTGACAACCCAACAGCCAGTTTGAGTTTCAGCAAGCTTGTTTAATAAAATATCCCTAGGTATTAAGTAAAAAGCAGGTGTGTAATCTAGGAAGGAGCAGCGGACAAATTTAGCCACTTTGTCTAAACTGGAGACAATGTTATGATACAAGACTGCAGCTGCATCTAGAGTACTTTTGCTGTATTTGTAGGTGAATTGTTTGGGATCGTTAAAGGCTATAAGTAAAGGCTGAAGATCAATTAAGAGTAACTTTCCATAGATTTTAGAAAAAGAGAGGTAATAGCAATAGGTTTAAATTTAAAACATGTCCTAGTAGATGACTTAAGTATAGGTACAATTTTAATGTCTTTCCAAACGGCTGGCACGACATTTCTGGAAAGATTCATTAAATATGTCCATGAGAGGATAACACAGGATATTTTAGCACATGTTTTGAGAATAACGCTAGGTTTCTGAGTGGAAAATAGGGCTTCAGCAGCATATCTCCATTTTGTTTTATTTTCTGCTGTCCTCTTTAACTGGGTCCACGATTATCCATAGTCTCTCATCTCCTCCTCGCATGATCTCCTCCATGTCACCCTCTCATTGACGACTCACTCGTCGTTTTCCACTGGGATTCCACTCGAGCGCTGGTGTGCTGCGTGATGTCATTCGACGATCCCCTTAGCGTGTGTGATGAACATCTGCCTTATCTTTTCGATTCTTAGCCTGATTTTAGAGCATATTAAATGCGGATATCTGAAGTTATTAACTAACTCTATAAAGTTCTCACTACTCCAGTTACATCTCACAACTAGTCTAATGGATAATGTTATACCGTTTAAAAATACTAAGCACCTTACCTTATGTTGTACTTCAGTCAAGAATATCAGCACCTGCTATTATAATACAAGTATAATGTGGTCATTGAAAGGATTTGGATTGTGAATTTTATTATCAGTGAATATTAAAACATTAATTATTATTTCTTTATACCTCTTTTGTTATTCTAGGCATTGAATAAGTTATATTCAAGGCGTATTCCCCTGCTTGACATGGCTATTGTACAATGGCCAAAATCTTGTATATTATTATTAGAGATTACAAGTGGATTAATTGATATTCATACAATTTTGTCTAATGTTAATGATCAATTAACACTTCATAACTATTTGCCTATTTCATTACTTAAAAATAACAATATTATTAAATGTATAAAATCAGATGAATTATGGTCTATCCTTGCATTCCGATTGATTTTATGCTTATACTTTCGTCGACCGGGTATAGCAAATCTGTTTACTTCGAGTACAACACGACAATTAATTTGTTATCCACATCCTGTAAATAGTAAATTTTCCAATTTACATTCTTTTATTGAAAAATTCGGTCTTTCAAATCAAAATAGTTCAAAATTTTCACAACCAGAGGTGAGTGTCATTCTAAATATTATTTTTTGTTGTTTCACAATTATTATTATTTCTGCAATTACCTGTGTAACAACAGAAGGCAAGGGTCAGGCAACAGATCATTTATTAAGGAAATCAACGCATATTTATATATTTTCATGTACATTACTATGGATATTTAAGCAAACAAACACAGTCTTCCGATTGGTTGTTTCTCACGTAAAGTTAATCTTTCATCTATTTGTGACTGTTTCTTGAATGTCAAATCCTCTATATGTTAACTGTATCCGCCTACGCAAAGTCTGCTGTGGTAGGTTTTGAATCAATCTTTGTTCACATTTTCTCACGACAATTCTTGGGAACGTAAATATTGACGTAAATTACTGTCTACCAATTTGGCTAGTAGACAGCTCTCACCACACCTGTACAGTACGTATTTTTTAGCGGACATTTCACCAATGTTATTTTGGAGATTCCAGATATCTGGATAACTGTGTGCCTTAATATTCGAGTATTGGTTTGTAAGGATTTGATTGATTGGTTAACAGGATTTCATCCTGAGCTGACTGTTGGCCTGTATGTATTGGATTGTCGAGGTTATACAATTGTAATCATGATGCATTGTCCGAAGCTAGAATTTGTGGCAATAACCCTTATTAACAAAAGCCTCCTGTATAATGCGTGGTAATGCTTATAACTTATTTTTAGAATAAATATTGGTGAGACTATGGGGTGCTATGGTCGATATTGCGACCTTATAGACTAAGATATATGAACATACTCTGCTAAGTAATCGCTTCTAACAGCCAACAACAACTATAACCACTGCAACATTATTATGGTGCAGAGCATATACTTTAATGAAGAAAAGCTTTTATTGTCTCAGTGACAGTCAACAAAGTTGATAGCAAAGCTGAAGATATACATTTGTGATGACTCTGTTCAATAATTAGTTCACTGTTAACTTGGAAGCATTAGTAGACATAGTCTAGCCTTGAAAATTAGTGAGAAAAACTAAAACCAACCTATACGGTGAAAACATTAAATGTAAACTAACACGTTATAGATGAAAATCGGGAGACATAGCACTTCTTGCTGGAGGAAGTGAACAAAAATGAATAAAATAATTAGTACCGTCTTTTCTCAGGGTGTTTCTGAAAGCTGACTGATTGAGATCTTCTGTGACCTGTCAATAGCCTGGGTAATACCTCCTTTATGATTTCCAGCTTCCCAATGGTTGGTTCTGCATCTGCTGTTTCAGGTGGCCTAAAGCCTCCTAACAACAGCTCAAGAGGTGTCTCCGGTTCTCAAGACATTAAGTAGCGACGTCGTATCTGATTTTTATCTGCTACCCATCTTTCATGCCCCACTCTAACTCTTTATAGCAAGATTCTCCTTTGATATTCTATCGCACCTGTCTATCTTTTCTTTCCTTGTCCATAGTCGTGAGCATAGACGTTTTCGTCCTTGAAGAAGTATATCACAATGTTCTTTCGTTAATTTAACAAGGATGATTGCGTCGTGTGATGGTAGGGACGTAATGTCCGTTCCATCAAGAGCTCGATCGGGATTTCTTAACTCTGTCCGTGGTGTTGTCCACTACTCATAAACTGTCAAGTGGTTTTGGATGTAACCTCTTCCTCTGCCTTAAGTATAGCTCACTTGATGATAATATGAACAACTCTCCGCTTGTCCGTTCGACTATGGATAGTACGGTGATGATAAATGGTGTTGATTACTTAATTCTCTCTGACGCCTACTAAAATGGTCTGAGGTAGTAATCATCACCGCACTTTCCAGCAGTCATATCTTAACCATCCTCGCCAGAAGTTTTCGCGTTTCATCTGACTGTGACACCCAGTTCACTTCACACAGATTTCAAGTTTTGAAGACGAAGTGGTACACAAAATACTCGATACCATCATACAATGCACAATCAAGTAGACAAGTGGGGATATTCGTTGACACTCTCAGGAAAGCTATACTTAGACCAGTGGGATTATTTCTCAACACAAATGTTGTGGCTTTTCTGGGATGGAAATTAACGAGTTGCTTAAATCTGATTTATTCAAATCTAATGCTGTCGTATTATCGCTAAAATTGTTTTGCTTTTTTTGGAATATTTTTTATAGGTTGATCGTATCGGTCCAATTTTATTGGTCAGTCTAACCGCTTCCAATATGTCGATTATGGATACTGCACAATTAGCTTATAAGGCTTTAATTACTCATCATACGAGAGCTGCCTTACGTCTAATACCAATCATATGTGGTTTAAGTGAAGGACGACTTGGTATATCATGGGCACAATTTACGCATAAACGTTATCATTTATTGTTCTCTAATTTATTACATATCCTGGAGATATTATCGACTACTTCGATGGATAGTTCAGCAGAAATGCTATTGGATGTTTATGCAAATAATGGTAGTTTATCAGCTGTGGAAAATGGTGCTTTATTCAGTAGAGAAGTCCTACCATACAGGTTAGATTTATTCTTTTATACTTCTTTTATCTATGTAAGGTCTAATCATATCAAATCCACAATCACTCTAAGTATATAAGTGAATTATTCCCTTTTACACTGGTGTATTAATTTAAGACAAAACTGGCAGTCTAACTTAAAATTCTTGGCTATTTTCAGCTCATTTTAGAACTCATATATTTATGCACTAATTCACTGATTCCTGTACATCGTGTTTCCCTTAAATTCCTTCAAGTATTTAGTAATTCTTAAGTTTAAAATTTTAATATACAAAGTTGAACATATGTGCAAGCTTCAGAAGAGAGGTGTTTTTCAGTGATATTCGCCTTGGATGCCTGTTTAGCTACTCTCATTTAACTTCTGAATTCAGTGAGCATAATTCTAAATACTTTTTCATGCACGTTTGTCATTTAGCAAATGTTTTCCTCAACTTCTAGTGTTGAGATACGGAGTGAAGTGAAAATTCCCGATGAAGTTGATTGCTATTGAAACCTTTTGGCATTCTCTAAATTGCATTATATTTAGTGAAAAGGGTAATGTCCCACCCTTTATTAAAAGGCCATACAGACTGCCCAATAGTCTGTCCTTTCATGCTTTACTTTTGTAGGACGCAGGTACTGAAATCTAAAAAATCAAAAGGGTTCAGGTTTCCGACCATGTACGTTTTCTCCTCACTGTTTCTGTTGAATGTTAAGCAAAATTTTGGCTACTTATGGAATTTTACTAAAATAAACATTGCTCCTGTCGAGTACTACCGACAAATTGGTCGAAGAAGCAGCAAACACAGGACTCCAGGTGAACATAGACAAGACGGAGGTTGTGAAAATAACCAACCAACCAACAACAACAGAAACATCCAACGCCAATCACCATCAACGGGAGGGATTTGAAAGAGGTTACTTCATTCACTTCACTTATCTAGGGATCATTATCTCAACTACAGGAGGAACGGACGAGGATGTCAAATCGAGAATCGGGAAGGCGAGAAACACATTCATCAACCTGAAACCAATCTGGAAATCTTCGTCACTCAGCATCAACAACAAAATGATTCGGATTTTCAATACAAACGTCAAGTCAGTCAGTTCTTCTATACGGATCAGAAACTTGGTGGGTCACCAAGAATATTTCCAACAGCCTGTTGCAGACCTTTATCAACAACTGTCTTCGTTCTATACTCAAGATCAGATGGCCGGAAACAATCACCAACAAGAAACTATGGGAACAAACAAAACAAGAACCAATCGCTCAACAAATATACAGGAGAAAGTGGAGATGGATTGGGCACTCGCTGAGGAGATCGCTGGGTGACATTGCTCGTCAGGCCAGTGCTCGAGTGGAACGGGGGAAGGAAAGCGGCGAGTGGGACGTCCAAGGGTGACATGGAGGAGATCGTGTGAAGAGGAGTTTAAACACTATGGATTAACATGGATGCAAGTGAAAAGTACAGCAGAAGACAGGACCAAGTGGAGACGTTTAGTTGAAGCCCAATGTTCCACTAGGAAGCCAAGGGAACAATAATAATAATAAACATTGCCTAAATTATTTGAAATATGAATTAAGCATGCTCATTTGTCCCCTTTTTCGATGGGCGAAGCGGACTGAAGTCAGATTAGGTTGTTAAGATAGTAGTTATTGTTCAGATCCATTATAGATTTTACTTTTCTTCTTTCTGTTAGTCTTTGGCACGGTTGTTTTTCAGTTGTATTGTTATTGCATTTCTGTCATTGTCTTCATTGTATTTCATTTCAAACTGTGGGTATCTGAATAAGTTTTAACTTTATCCATCAATTGGTGATATCATAAAGTCGATTAACTATACATAAACAGTTGTTAAGCAATCGAACAGTTTAATTGACATAGTTAGACATCAGTGATAATGAACTGGATGAAATTGTATTACATCGTTTTTATAAATCTATTCATCATTTGATCTGCCTTATTTTGATGCTGAATTTTATTTATTTTAGTAAATATGTGGAACGTCTTTTGGCAAACTTGATCGCAGCTTTAGCATCATTTCATGAAAATGCTCGTCATCTTAGTGGATTTCCAAAGCGTTTGGCTAAACTACTTCAATTTCATGCTCAATTTGCTCCATGGAGTATGAATTTCAATGAGACAGTCAGCTTTTTAAAAGAAAATCAAAATATCAATGATAATTTTGATATACTTGCTGAGAAATTTGAGGAATTTATTCCTATACCTAGTATGCTTACGGAAGTTAATGAATCCTATGGAGATAAGCATCATTATTCATCTTCACTTCTTTCAGTAATTTCAAAATGTCGTGGACAAATTAGCAAACAGTGGAATTTAGCTGTGCTGCAACCATTCGTATATCATCTAAGAACTTGTATTCACCCTGAAAGTAAGCTTTTTTTCTTCCTTCAATTTATGGGTTTAGTGAGTGAAATCATCAAGCTTTAAGTACAAATGGTTCAGGACTATAGTTTTGTTATTAGCATAACTAAATATATCCTTGATAGGATACTAGCACGTATGTATTACAGCAGCTTAAAGATTTTATTAATATGTTATATTGAGTTATTCACTACAACAGCATAAATTGAGGTGAATTAGAGGAGTCATTTAGTTCTCAACTTTTTGACTTTTAGTTTTCTTTTTTACTAGTTTTATACTAATGAATAGATAATAGTTGTGAATATCTACTGGCAGACCTGTCCTCTGAATTAGTTCATTTTGCCACATAGCCTAATACACTTTAGCTTCTCTCTGTAACGATGCTAAACTACTACTGGGAGGATGATGTACCTCGGTCAACCCCCAATGGTTAATATGAACATTTGAAAATCGAATAGTTAGAAGAAATAGAGTTCGATTCAACATAACTCCAGATTTCATCATCAGTTTATCCTAACCATCCGTTAAAATTTCTTACTTGATATATTTCATCAACCTATGGTTGGATTAGTCAGTTGTTTAACTGACTTTGTGTATCTGTTTCAGAAAATTGCTGGACGTTTGATTACATTCCCAAATTTCATTATATCATGTCTTAAGTGCCTGCTAATTATTCATAGATTCAAGGGTTTGAGTGTGTAATGATTGTAAAGAAACAGTAATTTGCTTTAATTCCCCTCATAGGATTTCACGAGTAACTGTTACATGACTTGTTTTTTGAGTCTTCTGAACCACCAGCTTACTGATCGATAAATGATCAATAAAGTCTCCAAGCTAAAGTGGAACTGCTTGAGAAATAAGTTGAAGATAGTCAATCTTAGCTGTACAAGAAAATTTACTGTCTGACATCCTCGATTTTCAGAAAATGGTCTCCTGGAGACATTAGGTGACTTCACCGAAATTGGGTTACAATAATAGAAATGTCTACATTACATATAATTGAATTTTCGAATGGTTTTACCAACAAATCAGTATCAGATCCTTTGACATATATATTCATCGAGTTGAGTGTATACCTTTAAATGCAAATCAGTGGGTATAGTAAATTTACTTGCATCCATTTCACAGGAAGAGTGATAAGTATCTAAATTTGTCAAATCATCTAATAATAATTATAATTGAGTGGTAATCACCGTTAATAGTAATTGTTCCCTGTCTCTTTCATACACATCATTCCAGGAGTTTATTTGACATCTTTTAGAATAATTATTATTCACACATATTTGTTAAGTTAATTTTTTTTTAATTTTCCATAGTGCTCTGTAATTTACTCAGTGAATTAGAGATAGCGTCAAAACGAAGAATTTCTATTCTACTGCACTTCAAAGTAAGCCATCTGTTTTTCTCTTGGATTTTGCTTGATTATTTTGTTATTGTTGTTATCATCACATATATGTATTGTATTTCATAGATTGTGTTTAACATAAGTACATTGAGTTAAGGTGGAAATTCGCCTGGTTGTGATTTATTGTGGTGGAGATTACAGAATCTTGAGTTTATGCCTCATATTTACCTTCTCCACTGCATTTTTCGAAACTTTTACAACCATGTGATGTTATTAAGTTTCCTAACCCAGTATATAAATCTTTATTCGCCTTTTGAGTTTTATTATTATTATTATTATTATTATTATTATTATTAGTATTACACTTTTCATCATTGATACTTATATTCCTAGTCCTTGTGTTTTTTAGTATGTTGCTCATCGAGAATTTATTGGTTTCTGTGTTCAGAATCGAAACCTTTTAGAAATTTTAATTGAAAAAACATTTTTAAAAAGTATAACACAAGCCATGCAAAGAAAATACAATGCAAAACGAACAACTTTTATATTTTTCAAAAAGGTTGTATTGGGATAGCGATGCCGAGCTGGACACAGGCTCCGATGATCACGGATATATCGCTAAGCTACTCCATCAGCCTATACGACAGCTACCTGCTTTCCTTGCCATCTCTACTTAAGCGAGAACATACAACTATACGAGACGGAAAGTATAGTTCGGGATGAGTTTATTTACAAAAGGAAACAATGACGTATACATATTATTATTATTGTTTCCTTTAATTCCTAGAGGAACATAGGGCCTCAGCCAAACGTCTCCATTGCGTTCGGTTCTCTGCTAGAGTTTTCACCTGCCTTCAAGTCTGTCAACATGCTTTCATCTCCTCTTCACATGACCTCCTCCAAGTCACCCTCGCACTGATGACCAACTCGCCGCTTCCCTTTCGGGTTCCACTCGAGCAATGGCTTGTCTAGTGATGTCACTTGATGGTTTCCTCAGAGTATGGTCAGTCAATCCATCTCCATTTCTTCCTGCCTATTTGTTTCACAATCGGTTCCTGGTTGGTTCGCTCATTGCCAGAGATCTCTGTTTCTGATCTTTTCTCGCCATCTGATATTGAGTATTGAGCGAAGACAACTGTTAATGAAGGTCTGTAGTTTGTTTGAGATGCTTTTTATGACGCGCAGTGCAAGTCTCTGATCCGTATAGTGAGTAGCACTGACTTCACATTGGAGTTGAAAATCCTGATCTTACTTTTGATGCTGAGTGTTGTTGACCTCCACACAGACTTGAGAGTAGTGAAAGTTTGTCTTGCTTTTCCGATTCTTGCTTTGATATCCTCGTCAGTTCTGTCCGCCTGTAGTTGAAACGATGCTTCCCAGGTAGGTAAAAGAGGTTATTTCTTTCAGGTTCCTCCCATTTATGCTGGTTGTTATCTGTTTTTGTTGTTGTTGCTGTTGGTGGTGTTGCCCAGGAATCTTCATCACCTCTGTTTTCTCTATGTTAACCTGAAGTGATGCCCTATCTTTGATGCTTCTTCTGCCAACTTGTTGCTTTTCGCTCGCATATCTTCCAGTTTGTGGGAAATCAGACATATATCATCGGCGAAGTTCAGATCCTCTAAGTTTTTCTTTAAGGTCCATTTTATGCCTGTTTCCTCATTGCCCGCTGTTTGTCGCATTATCCAATCTACTGCAATCAGGAAAATCATTGGCGATATATATATATATACATATATATAGCTAAGGATGTAGTCGTGAAGAGGGTAATCCATGAAAGGATGTATCTATATATTAACAATCCAGAAGACTGCAGCCTATATTAAGTTCAGTAAGGTGAAGCTGAAACTTTTGTATATAACTTCCATAATCTTAGTTTTACTGTCAATCTTACTTATTTTTGAATTTTTCTTTTGATTTTCAGAGCGAATTGGAATCACTTATTGGACATTCTTCTGAAACAGTAGCCAATCTGGCTGTACAACTTTTATTAAGATTATTACATCACTATCCACATTTAGCTCAATCAGTAGTCACGAATACAATTATACCATATCTTTGTACAAAATCACATAATCTTAACAGATTCAGTTTGCCTATCTTATCCATGTTACCAGATATTGTTATGCTTGCACCATATTCATCACCCAAATTAATGCAATTATGTGCAGAACATATAATATTTGGAGTACCGGATGAAACAACTTATCAAGCTATTGATTACTATGAAGTTAGCATGCGTCGTTTAACGCTGGATGGACTCGATGGAGCTTGTATAGAACATGCAAGCTCTGCATTAACAAATACTACTTCTATGGTTAGAACATCATTACAATAAGAAAAACAAGGAAGAGTAACATTGTACATAGCTTATTAACTTCACAATATGTAAATTAAATTTTCTCTTTTTTGTATTAAAATTTTTTTCTGGTTTGTTATTACATGAGTATCTTTCTATAAAGCAATAATTTTAAAATAATCAAACTTTTATAGAAGTTGTATAGTATGATCGAGCCATATAGATTTCTGCACTTAGGCATTATACCTTATTTGATTTAATTGGTTTAACATAGGCATATTTAATAGACAAGAAACAAACAATTTGTATTAAGAATCGCTGTCCGAAATTTGTTTGACTGATTGGGTTTCTGTCTCCTGATGTAATACTTGAAATACTTGAAACAGTAGTTGACTTAGGTAATATTTGATACAGTTGGTAGTCTTATCTACTATATTTGGTCATCCGTTATTTTCATTTAACCTCGCGACTTTTCTAGCCGGTCCCAAGCCGGAGTAAAAATGGAGAGTTGGGCGTGGGGCGAGCGACTCTACCTTGGAAATTCCATATTAGTTTGTTTATTTGATATATCACACAGTGAAACAGTATTATTTACTGGATGACGTTTCGAACAAAATTTATTGTTCATAATCATATCATATCATATCATAATCATATCTACCTTGGAAAATCAACAAAACTGCTACAGAAATTTCAAAGCACAAGAAATATATTGGAAACACAGAAAATATAAAAAGCAAACTTATTCTTCTCTGGAATAGGGGGGGCGAAATGACACAACGGGCTGGTGAAAGCCTTCGGGAAGCCAGTCAGCCGATGTGCCTTCTCTCGATGAATACTAGAATAAGGATGGGGACTTGGAATGTCGTACAGTGTATGAGGTTGGGAAGACTGACCAGATAACCAAAGAAATGAAAAGATATAGCGTAGAAGTGTTGGGTATCTAGGAGAGGAAGTGGAATTGATGTGGACTGTCAAAATTGTCAACTGAAGAGTCAGTAATCTACTCCGATTTGGTCACCTAGATGACAACCACGGCCACACTGAGGCAGTCAATGGCTATCATGGTGTCACCAGTGGCAGCCAAAGCCCTAATGCAGTGGGAACCAATCTCCTCCTCCATAATCATGACAGCGAGATTCAAATCAGAAGGAGGGGAGCAAGGTCACATTTGTCCAGTGCTACGCACAGTGCTACAAACAACGTGGAACAAGAGAAAAAGTAAGATTTTTGTAGACAACTACAGATATTAGTGGGCAACATCCGAAATGAAAACATCTAAATCCTTTTAGGCGACATGAATGCCAGCCGACCTGGGAGCAGATAATAAAGGAAGAGAATTCATCGTGCGTCGAGAGGTTCTGGCTCAGAGAAATGCATGGATACGGAGAACTCTTCAGAGACTTCTGCGCTTTCAATGATTTGGTGACTGGAGTCAGCGTGTACAAGCACAAGGATATACACAAGACCAGCAACATGAATTTCGCCTGACGGACACTTAACCCCATAAATCAGATAAATTTCATTTGATGAATACTGCTCCAGGAAGTGGGGACGCAGACAGTCTATTGGACACAAAGTCGCGAAAGGGAACAGGTGTCTAAAACACCAGAAATTCCAGGGAATTCCTTCGAGCGTGATACTCAAGTGAATTAGCGATTGAGAAGCACATTACTGTAGACCAAATTTACCAGCTAATAAAAAGTAAATCACATGAGAAGAAATTTCGAATTCCAAGTCAATAAAATGATCAGTAGAAACGTAAATTAACAACCAGTCACGGCAGTGGTTGCCAGGAGATACAATTACACCATTCATGGAAAATTCAAATAAGTTCACTTTATACTAAAACCTGCGCTGAAGATATTGTCTAGACGGACGAGGTAAGCTTCGCAGTTAAATCAACCAGCTCAGAGAACACAAATAATTCAATATCATTCGCTTGAGCTACAAATCTTCGCCATTATTTCACAGTTGGTAATCTTGTTTACTATATTTGGTCATTTATTATTTTCATTTATTTGGTAGAATGATTATATCATCATTGTGGCCTTCATAATAAATGAGAGTGTTGTCTCAGTCTTTTTTGCTTTACATACAACAGTAACATAAGGCTTTCTATTCCTTATGCTTTCATGGAATCTGAAGCGTAATTTTGAAAGGGTAAATAAACTATATCAGTCCTATATCTCCCAATGTAATTTCAAAAGTATATATCCGTGTATGTAGAGTATTCAGCTGACGAGTTCTACCGAAATTTGATGAATTCATTAAATCCTGCTTTATTAACCTTTATTGCTTGTTTTAAATTCGTATTGGGAAATAAATGTTTCCAATACCGAATCTGTTTCTGATATGGGATTTAGTTTGATAAAAACTATCACTTAGTAAGTGAAGTTATCCTAATATTGCAAGATCTAAAAATGGTAGTAACTGGTTTATAGTCTCTATTTTATTCCATATTAGTTTGTTTATTAGATATATCACACAGTGAAACAGTATCATTTACTGGATGACGTTTCGAACAAAATTTATTGTTCATAATCATATCAATTGTAATCACACGACTTTGACAATTGAGTTTTATAGCTTTCTTTGTTTTCTCCTATTTGTCGTAGGGGGAGTAGAATTTTCCAGATATCGGGGACAGGTGATGAATCATTCCTATTACATGTATTTGCAGTTGATTCGATAAACAAAGCTTCTGTTATCAATCTCTCCCTATACCCTGTGACATTAGATTTTAAAACTGTCATCCTATCCCATCCTATTGTGTGTAAATGCATGTAGTGCTATAGCTGAACTATTCTCTAGATTTCTTATCTTATTCGGGTCAACCAATCTAGATTTTGCTAGGTTTTTATGTTCAGCTCGTCTGACTGCCCCTGTTCTACTAGTTTGACCTATGTATTTGACCTGACAATCATTGCAGGGTACTAGATACACTAAATTGTTTTGTTTTAAGGGCTCTACAGGATCCTTTAACCGACAAAGCTTGTTTCTAATTGAGTTTGTGGGTTTGAATGCCATTTTTATTCCTGTCTTGTTAAGAATTCTGCGTAAGGCTTCCGAGGTTCCTTCCTTGTATGGAATTACTACTGATGATTTAGATTCCTTATTGTTGGTGTCATCATTAATATTATTATTATTATCACTATTATTATTATCATTATTATTGTTATTATCACTATCACTACTATCATTATTTATTTTATTTTTACATTTCCTTACATATTTCTTGACTAATTTAAACGGGTAATTATTAAGTTTTTCATACCCTGCAATGATTGTCAGGTCAAATACATAGGTCAAACTAGTAGAACAGGGGCAGTCAGACGAGCTGAATATAAAAACCTAGCAAAATCTAGATTGGTTGACCCGAATAAGATAAGAAATCTAGAGAATAGTTCAGCTATAGCACTACATGCATTTACACACAACCACACAATAGGATGGGATAGGATGACAGTGAGTTTCAGTAGCATCTAACTAGGCAGCAGTTTTTATAACTATTTGTTGTGATGCCGAAGATAACTCATTTTGAAAAAGAATTACTGGTGAATAATTCTCAAGTAAATGTCCTTCAGATGACCATCACAACGTCGGGGAACCTGTTTAACTGAAGGAATCTAGTTAGTCATCTATTCCATTTGAACTAGTGTCTTGTTAATGTTAATTGTTAGCACTTGATCGTTCTAACTAGTTAAGTGATACATCTTGGTTTGTCCAATAGAAGCTGATTGTTCGTCTTTTGCGTATTGTTGATTGCTCTTATTAATTGATGTTTATTCACTCTTCTGTTTCATCTACCAAGAACCTGAAGAAAAACAAATGCATATGTCGTCGCATTTTGGAATGTAAAGTGTTTATATGGGAGTTTTACTTTCATATGATTAAAAACCATTATATCTATTAGTTCTAATGGCTTGTGTTGAAGAAGACTGGAAATACTTGTCAGTATCATGGTAATCATTACTTTGAAAGATTTAAGTACATCATAAAGTGTTGGTTTGCATGGACTTGATTGAGCAAACACTCACTAGCTGACATCAGTTAGAGAACCATTGGAAAACTATAGAGTACTGAACTGTTGTCTCGCCATTGGACCGTGTCCCATTGGCTGAATGGTCCACGAGCTCTCCTTGTAACCGGAAGGACGTGAGTTTAAACCCTGGTGTGTGCATACTGCCGAAGACTTCCAAACTAGGGTGAAATAACCGTCCAACACTTCCTGGTTTCCCACTAGTTCCCGAATTGATTTGGAGCTGTGATCAAACCATTTAAATTTATCATTTCCCTGTGGAAGTGCAATATTACTGACCTTATGAAATACACTTCTGTAATTCGTGAATCACACATTTTGCATTTTTGTAAGCTTTCAGTTCCTAATTCTTCCCCGGAAGAATTTTGAATATCCGCCATGTCAGTTATACATGTCAATCAGACACACTTTTCTTACCACGCTTATAAAGATAACTGACGTGAGAAAGTACATTATTGCATGAGGGATTTCCTTATCGGCGAAAGATATTGGTAGAAGACAAAAGGGAAATTTTTCTGTCACCTCACTATTCTTTAGACGATTACATTTTCTTTTTACAAATTGATCACGGATTGATATCAGTTAGAGAACCATTGAAAGGCACCAGGGAGTACTGGACAGCTGTTTCATCTTAGTTTAGGAATCATCTGCAGTACGCACCCACCAATAGGGTTTGAACCCAGGATCTTCCGGTTACAAGGCAGGCTGGTATACCATTCAGCCACTGGGACCCGATTCAATGCCCAGTGCATGAATTCTAACTTCTACCAGTTCGTGATGTAGCGCGACCCCAACCAATGTCGTCGGTGAGACATCCATCCTCAATCCTAAATTGTAAGACAGTTCTGCTTACTTTAAATGTCAGGTTAATTTTATCTTCTCTGCACAATAATTACTAATAAGGTTATGGTATTTGCAGAATTGTCTGAGCATCTTTTCGAGGTTAAGAATTAACACCTTCTTTCTTGACAGCTTGCGAAGAGGATGATAATTAGTGAAATATTTTTTTTTACCAGCAGTGACACACAGAAAGTTCACTAAAAGTGTTTTTGAAGTAACGGACTGTTGATTATTGTATGAAGCTTAGAGATTGGAAAAAGCTGGTTAGCTCTGTAACTCTTCT